CCCGCCCCCAATCCAGGGATAGAACCAGCTTGAGAAGTGAGCAGGGTACTGATTTTTAGGGTTTGGCAAGCGACATGGAAACTTCTACGAGTCCGGACTCGGACAGTTGGCCTTATCCCCCCCCAAAATGATCGGCTTTCTTTTAGTTTCCCATATAAGACACCCCGAAAATGGCTCTGAGCCTCAACAAACACCAGCATCTTGAACAAACACCCATGTCTTTGACTCCCGGGAAACCAACAAAAAACACGAGGACCCGATTTCCGGTTTCCAGGGCACGGACACTTGGGCCGTTTGCCAAGTGGCACATCCTGGACCATCCTAAGACTGCGCTGCAAAACGCTCCAGGCGCCCGGGCCCAGTTCCCATAGTTCATCTCCGGCAAGTCCCGGTACGCTGACGGCGCGGGCTCCCCCCCCGCCCGGTCGCCGTCCGGCACGCGGACGGCGGCGTTCGACGCGGGGCTGGCGGCCTCGCCTGGAGGTGCCATGAGCTTTCCGCCACCCGACGTCTTGGACCCGGTTTGTTTAAAAGGAACATGCTCCAAAAACCAGGACCATCCTATCAGGGTCCGTGTGAATTGGTGGGAGGCTACGTTTGTAGTCTGTTACGCAGCTTCCCTTACTTGGACCACCTTGCTGTGGTTACTATCCCAAGCTCATAAGTCCCCGGTGAGCTATATGTAGGATAACATTTCAGTTCGGGAACTTGTTCACTGGGGCTCAGGTGTGGCTTGAGTCATCTGAGAGTCGTTCCGACATGAGCTTCTCTGGAAAAGAGGATGGATCGGAGAAGAAAAAAAAAGAAGTTTCCGCTAACGAAGCGCTTGTGGGCGGGTGCCTTCTACATCGATCGCCAGGTGTCTCGTTGCAGCATTGGCCAAGAGCCAACGGAGTAGAGCGCTTCCCCACTGAGTGGCGGTGTGAGCCATGCATTAGGTTCAGGGAATCGAAGAAACCAATGACCCATGATCCACTGCTGGCTGGTGACATGTTTGGACCATGCCTGGTTCCTTCTCAGACCCTCAAACATTTGGGATGACCACGCAAAAAAAAAAACACGAGCTCAACAAAAATCAACCAACACAAATTGTGTTACAGTATCTGCATATTTGGATCGAGGTTGGCGCAACATATGAAACCTGTAGGCTCTTTGACTGAGCCAACACCCGCTTTTATGTTTGAATCAAGATCCTTTTTAGGTATAATTAAATACAAGAGTGTGTTAAATTTCATTTGACAGATATTGCACCCCTTCCATTTGTGAGTTTTCCCACAAAACAAACCTATGCGCAGGCATAGTGTTTTGAGATAGCCGCAACGCTCCCCCGCCTCTGGCTTTGGCCACAGGCTCGGTCTGGCGCGGACGGTTTCCGGCGTTCTTATTTGGCCATGGGCTTTTCAAAAGCCAAATTTCGTACCCCCCAGTGAACATCCGATTCAATCCAACCACTAAAATAGGAAGCCTAAAATCGGTGGCGAATTCACCTACCAACCAAAATGGGATCCAAAACGGTTTTGACAACCGCAGCCACGTGGGCGTGGCCCGCTGGGCTCCAGCGCTTTTCCTGAAATCGGATGAGTGGTCCTCAAGCCCCTGACTTGAGATCTGGGCCATTGACAGAAAACACAAACCCGCTCTTGTCTCACCCTCTGAAGGTGTACCGCCTGATTTCGGCCTTTCAGCTCTGACATTCGTTGATCCCTTGCTAAAAGTTGGACTTTTAGTGGATTCTGTCATAATTATCCCTACAAAACGCAAAAAAGTCTATGGCTGGCAACCCATTTTCCCGCCAGGGTGGGGAGTCTCAACCAGGAAATCGGGGCGCAGTGCTTTTGGTGGTGAAGTCGTGCCAGCCGGGCGCGCTTGCGCGAGCGCGGGCCGGTGACAGCCAAACTTCATATTCAATTTCTCAAACACGGAGCCCTTTTGGTATGGCTTTGGAGGGAAAGCAAAAGGAAACAAAGCACCTGGGTTTGAGAAAGACCCATATTGTCCGATTACTCTCAAAATGAGAGGCACCCCAACGTGAGGCATCCCTAAAAATGGCTCACAGTTTACTCAGAGCTAGAAAAGCGTAAATTGGGAAGTTCTGAACTAGGCAACAATCTAATTTGTTTCTTAGAATCAGGCACACCCAAAGCCGTTTGCCTTCCTGGTTGTCCCCTTGCAACCCATCCACAAATTCCCTTTGAGACAGGCCCAATGTGTCCCCTTTCCAATTTCCCTTTAACTCACTCCAAAACAGGTGCCATCAACCAAATACACCCCCCTACATTTGAGGCTGTTCGGTTGATGCGGAACAAGCCATGGCTTGGGTTCGCGCCTGCAGAAAAAAATCAAACCAACATGCACCTGGATGAATCGAGCATGAGCCATGCACCGCTGCAAAGGGTGATGTCTAAAACAAGCAAAGGGAACAAACAAGGAAGCCAACACGCAAAAAACAACCAAGCACACGCACATGTAATCAACGGCAATCGTACACAAACACAAAATACCGTTTAATGTCAAATGCACACAAAGGCCGACAAGCTAAACCAGCTCAAACACGCAAACACAATTTCGAAAAACATAGTCAACACACACACACACATGTATACATGATAGACATACACGCGGGTGTTGAGAAACAAATAAGGGAGCTAGAGCCAGCTGAGCAAACAAATACAACCAAACACATAAACAAAACTAACATGGGCAAACCCCCACATAAACATCAACTCACGCACATGCTCCACAACTTCACATGGACCCCAGAAACCCCAAAACAAAAAAGAAAAGGAAAAGAAAGGATCGACCACCACCCCAAAACAAAAAAGAAAAGAAGAAAGAATCAGCCACCACGCACATGGACCCCCCCCACCACATCATGCTTTCAGCGGACTCTCCTTTGGGGGTCCCGTTTTGCCTTCGGACCGAGTCCCAGCGCGGACGGACGTAGGTCGCCTGGTAGGGCGAGGGCGTGCGCTCGGCCGGCAGCTCCATCTCCGGGTCCGCCGTGGCGCGGCCCTGAAAGATTTTCTCAGATGGCTCAACACCTGCAAAACTTTTCCTGGTTAATTTTGAGCCACACCCAGATGTTCCCAGTGTGTATCGAAACAGATTTGGAGACCCTTGGAGGTTTCACTGAAAATGGAGGGGAGAGAGACCTCTCTCTCTGTCTAATGGGTTTGTCTCATAATAGGGGAACCCCAAAAAAATGGACTCATATATTTTTAGGTACAAATCCAAAACGGACCGGAAATACCCAATCCCAAAAAACGGTCCGGAACCGCCGCAAACAAGCCCCGGAGCTTTGCCCCCTTTCCCCTGACAGCGGGGGTTTGGGGGCGGCGCACCTCGAAGCCCGCATGAGCATTCTGGTCCACCTGGCGGGATCTCAAGCGGAGTTTTGGGCGGCCTTCGAGGCCAGTTTCCCAGTTACAACCAACCCGAAAAGGGCCACCGAGAAATGGCCACCTTAAGTGAATCAATTGATTTGGTGGCCATTTTAGTGGCCAACCTTGATTTAGTGGACCATTTTAGTGGCCACTTTAGTGGCAACCAACAAGAATCGGGTTGACCCAACAAACAATTGGGAAAAGAGTTCCGGGTTTCAAGGAACAATCGGGAAAATTGACTCTCGACTAAAGGAAAAAGCGATTAACAAAAATCTCGATTGAGATTGGTAGCCGAAAAATGATGTTGATACCACCTAAAATGGGACACAACACAGCCCTTGCTTTAACCCTCTCTCTAAAGTCGCTGTGTTGATCGGTTTTGGGGAGTTGATTCCTTTTATCCGCTTTTCAACCTTGGTTCTTTGCACAACCCAGACCTTTTCCCTGGGCGCGCGGTTGGTGACTTTTTCTGGAAAGAAGGATCACCGGAGAAAAAAATGGGCAAGTGAGCGTAGCAAAGAAGGAAGCCCACCATTTCTCCGAGTCCCCCAAGTCTCACCAGGCGCCAAAATCAACGGCTTGACCCCCCAACACGTCCAACTTTCTGCCAGGGCAGCGGATAAGTGGCATCGTCCAAAAGCCTCGGCTTGAAAGCCACATGAGAGATTCGCGGGCCAACCTGGGCCGTTGCCTTGTGGGGTCCGCCCGTCGGCCAGTGGAGGGGGTCGTTTTGGGTTCCACATGTTTTCCCCTACATCTCCCCATGAAACTCACTTCAAACTGACACAAAAAGTGCTCCGTTTTTGCGGGCAGGTCTGTTCAGCCTCAAGGCCACACTTTCGCCCCGCAAGGCGGCCCATTCGGAAATTCCCGCGTGGTACCCTACCCCAGAGCAAAGTTGGATCTCCGGAGAATCCGAAGCACGTACCCCTGCGACTCGAAGCCGGCCTTCATGAGGAACCCTCCGCATTTCTTCTTTTTCTCCACCAGCAAATGGTAGGTGGTGGTCACGTGGTTGTGCTTCCCCATCTGCCTGATCTTCCGTCCCAATCGATTGGCGTAGACTGGCAGACCCAAGCTTTTTGAACTAAGAACAAGCGTCAAAACAGAGAAAGCTGGTGCAAATCAGAGAATCCGTTTGTGTTTGCTTGAGGCTCCGTCGGTCCTTTGGTGTTTTGAAGCAGCACGGAAGCTGAAACCCCAGAACCCACTGAAGGAGCCACAAACCTAGGTTGAGACCCATAGCCGCTGGGGAAAACAGGATATTGCTGACAATCACTAAGCATACCAAACCCATCTAACAATCAATTGGGAATTTGTGTGTTAGTTGCCCCAACCAATGTTCGAGGAAATAAATGTCAAAACCAATTTGGACTGACTTCCGAATTGGAAACGGGTGAGACAAATCAAGGCCTCCAATTGAATGTTACAAAAACTGTACCCGGGTCCCCACACTGTTCCTCAAAATGGGTCCGTGTCTTAGTACCTCAGTTGTCTCCATTCAAACAGCCGAAAAGGTTTGCACTGCGCTTGGGCAGAAACAAATGTGCCAAAAACACATTTATGTGTGTGTCCGTACCCTTTTTGGGGGCCCGGGCCAAGATTCAACCGGTGGGGACCAAAGTAAGACCAAAACACCAGAGTGGAAAATGCGAATTTTCGCTCCGAGCCGCTCTAAAGCCTATCTGCGCCTATCGACCTTTCAGCTGGGGAAAGAGGTTTGGAGCTCTAGAAAAGACTCTGAAGATGGACGCCAAGCTGCCCCTCACTATCGGAAGCTTGGTTTGGAGCCCTTCCAGTGTGCAGGGAGGGGTAACCCAAGGGGTTCGTGGGGATTTCTTCGGGCCCTTCCGCCTTTGAAGCGTTCCTTCGGTTTTCTCAAGGAGTGGCGGCTTGGGGATTCGAACTCCTGGTTCCTGTTGAAACCAGATGGGAAACTACTTCCCAACCTCCACACACTCCAACCAAACAACGAGTTATGGCTTGCCCAAATCAAGCACCAAAACCTTAAAAACTGGAAACCCTCAGACCCCGAACCCCAATTAGAAAACCACTGTACAGGACTCTTTCGCAACCCAAGGTGAGGATTGTAGATTGCCTTTGAACAGCGTCAAAATATTTAGGGGTTCTTCTTGTGGTGTTCCTTTCAGACGAAAGAAAAGTGCAGGTGGTATCCCCAACAGATTCTTTTGAACCCCGAAAAGCTGCTCCACACAAGCCCCCCTACCTTAAGGGGGATGGGTCCCCAATTCCAGTTCTCCAGTCTTCCCCATACAACAGAACACGGAACAAATGGAATTGTAGGGGTCACCCACGTGGAAAAGGGGGGGGCCTGTACCTAGCCGCTCAGGGAAGATGCAGCAAATCTCCGGAAATCACCCTCCTCGCCCAAAGAGGTCCAGCAGGTTCCTAATCCTAGGGCTGGGGCTTTCTGAGGGATCAGCCAACCCCTTGCACCAGCCCCCTTAGAACTGCCATAGAACAGACCCACCTGAACTCCGCCAGAGCCCATCCGCGCGAGAGCCCTTCCGCCCTTCCGCCCTTCCGAGCCCCGCCCCGCCCTTCCGCGCTCGCTCCAAGCGGCAAGCACTTCATGGCATAGTCCCTGGGGAAACCGAAGCGGTCCAGCTGGTCCAGCCTCGGTTTCGGTTTCAGACAGCCAGCCGCGCCCATGGGACCCCCCCCAAGTCAAGAAACTGGTTCACCGGAAATCATTGGCCAAATCAGGCGACACTTCCCTTATAAGGATTCCCTTAGAACGGCTAGGAAGCCGACGCACTCTCACTCTTTGATCTCAAGTCACATGATCATTGTTCGCCCATGACTTCAAGCGATTTTCGATTCAAGCACCGCAACCCGTCTGTTCTTTAGGCCCTCATTGTTGGTCAAGGCGCCCCTAACCTGGGGTTATCAACTATGTTCAACGGTCCTCCTTTTAGCCAGGGAAAGATGCAAGACATCAACGTTGCGCCCAATGTCAAAGGAAACGGAGAAGGAGCGGCTTTACTGGTAGTACCTGCTTTGAGGGGAACCCCCAAACGAGAGTTTTGAGCCCCCAGCACATCGTCCTCCAGAGCACGCGAGGCGCCTGCAGCGTTGAACCGATCCCAAAGACCTCCCAGAAGTTGTGGGCATAGGTGTCCTTTTAGAGAAATAGATGGGTGTCCCCGGTAGATGAGAAAAAACCACCAGGTAAACCAGGAATTGCCATCTATTTTTTCTACCAAAAAACCAAGAAGGACACCTATGTTTGTGGGGCTTCATAAGCCTCGTTGAGGCCATATTATTGGCATGTGTCAACATAGCCGGCCCAACAAACGAGAAACATGGGGCCAAACCTTGACTGTGGGGGGGGGGGCATTTAATCACCTGCATGTTTTGCCAAGACACATACATGCCTTACAAAAAACAAAAAAAAACTACCAACCCGGAGCTAGATCGGCATTCCCAAATCCCTGCTTGAACAAGGTATGCCTAACTGACCGCCCTTTCTCAACCATAACCGAGCGACAAAATTGTCCGACCAGGAAGGCCCCAAGACCCGGAACAACCAATCAACCCACATCCGAATCGAGTCGCCTGCCCCCTTTCGACCCCTTCGGAACTTGCAATGATTGAAACCAGCCACCAATCCGAGGCATGGAAACCCTGCGAAAATGGTGAAACTTCTTGCTTGGCGGTTGTCCTGAAATAATATCCATGAGCTCTCAGCCATGTTCATGTCCGACAATACCCTCAAAGGCCAAATCGTGCCCCCATGTTCAGCTGGGCTTGATCCAAGTGACCTGCAAGTTGCAACCATTGCTTGCAGGTTGGCCGGAAGGTTCGGAATCAGGGAAAAGGATGGCTCGGTCTACCAAAGAGCAACTCTCTGATCCATTCAAAGAAATGTCAAAAACGCGACGCGCGCCGATTTGTCGGTTTTGGTTGGGGCCATTCCCAACTCTTAGCCTTTGGAGTTTGGAATGGACCCCAGTTCATCTTGGGGTTCCCTGACCCTTGCGGTCCAAACACCCGAAAGAATACCAACCACTAGGCATGTTTGCCCTTTCTTAGCCCGAAGCAGCTACACAGAAAATAAGATATCCAGTCTCCGCTTCATAATAAGCCAACACACGAATATCACAATGTTTTGACAACCCCAGATAAGCCTTGGAATTGAGGCCCAGCTTTAGATGCTTTGAATCTTCCACCCTTCCAGACATAATATTGGCCCCGGGAAAAAAACCTGAACTTGTTGTTTCTATTTTCCAGGAACTTCGGCAGTGAGGAGATCCCTTTTCACTTGACGCTCACATGCTCCCAGCTCCTTGCCCTGCCTGCGCTGAGGGAAGCCTCAGGGACCTGGCGGTACCTGCGGCGATTTGGCCGAGCTGTGGACAGGTCACCAGGCGGCTGATGCCTTCTGAGGGAATATGGCACCGTCATTTGGCTGTGGGTCAACAAAAGGGTACCCAAAATAGAACCATGATAAATGAAACCAAGGACTAAAACCTGTGGTCCCCTGGTGGTTTAATTTTGACCCACACCCATTTCACAGTTTTGCTCGTTTTGCACGTGTGTACTGTAGACACTACATGTGCACATTACATAGCGACTGTGAATATTAACTTGCTGCTTGTTAGGCACGGAAGGAAACGGCATGACACCTATATGAGTGTGGCTCAAATGAAAGACCTAGTACTACACACGTGTTAGTGTTGGCTTCCATTTACCAAGGTGCCACTGTTGGATTCACTTTTTGAGCCACAGCAATATGTATATAAATATAAACCATCCATCCTATGGTTTCCTTTCAGGGAATCCCTGGGTTCAGGGAATGAGAAATGGAATGAATCCAATAAAAACAATGTCCAGTTTGGTTTGGTTTTCTTGAAAGGAATCCCCAAAGCCGGTTCATTCCCAACCCCCCCCCCCGCTTCGATTCTGACAGTTGTCTTTTTCCATACAAGCCCCACGAGTTTCCCACGGAAACTAAAAACTGATAGAATACCCAACGGCCTTTTCCGTGACTGATGGGTAGCTCCAGGTCAAAACATTGGGATTTGGTGCGAGGTTCTTCCGCCCCTAAAGTCTGTTGCGGGCACCCAGAAACTTCGATATGCTTGCTGTCCCTTGAAAAAAAAATATTTCCAGCAGTGATAGATTCCGTTTAAAAACTCACAGGGCAAAACTTCTCACGGTGTTCTCAAGCAAATGGAAGAGTACAGGGGACAAGCAAGGACCTGTGTTGGTCACGAAGCAAAGGAACACGCCGAACCTTCGAAAGGACCCTTTTGATCTCACTGGTTCTGTTCCAAAGAAGCCCTATAAACCCAAACCCTCCTCGTTGTGGCATGTTGAGATTAGAACCCCCGCCCCAAGGGTTCCCTTAGACACGGCCAGCTGCCATATTAAAACGCCAACTCATCTGGAACCTGACTGGGCGGGGCCTTCTTCGGGGAACTCCCTTTTGGTTGGCTTCAAAGGGAGAAAGGAAACAAACCATTTTGGGAGACCAAACGCCAAAATCTTGAGACACACCCGACACAGGGGATGGTTACAACATCCACAAACACGCACGTGGTAAAACGGCTGAACCATGCTGCCGGAGAAAAATAGTTCATCCCCCAATCCCAAGTGGTTCCCACGAGCTTTTATAAAACCGTCCGGTGCGAGCTATGTATTCATCTCTACTCTTGGTATGGTAGCAAAAAACTATGTTTTTTTGCAGAGCCCTAGTAAAAATGAACAGAACCAAAAAAAATAAAAATATGAAAAATGCCAAGAACAGCGAAGTATTGTAACCCATCCACTGTTAGTGTCTCTCCTGACTTCCCCCAGCCCACGGGGTTAAACCAAACACACGAATAGGGAGGCGTCAATGCGGGCCGCGGGTGTGGCCAAGGAGTCCAAGGCCAAGCTGCTGCGACCAAATCAGCTTTCTCTCCCCAGAACCAGCAAAGAAATACGGAAACTTCGAGGTCTCTTCTGTTGGGGGGTCGTCCTTGAGACAATAAATTTCAAAAAAAGTATTCCATAAAAGTCTTCCATAAAAGTATGTTTCAAAATAGGGAGCCATCCCAAATGGATTTCGGTTTTGCATTTGGCTTCCTTCTAAGCCAACCTGACACGGGTACAATTGTCCATGCAGGTGCAACTCCGAATGGGCCTTTGGGGTCACACCGAAGACCAGTGACAAACCCGTCTCAGCGGGTGTCCAACAACCCGTGTGCCCTTGAAAGAGCGGTATCCGGCACTCCGCACCGAAAAATGGCTAGAAGAGACCAATTGATGGACAGGAGGTTATATAATAGATGATATACCACTATGTAAAGGGTATATATTGCGTGACAAACTTATCTTGGCCATCCATACCTCCAAAACCCCATACCTGGAATGTTTCTAGATATTCCTCCCCGCTTTGGGAAATTCCAGGCCTCGAAGAACAACATGGTTGTGGGATGAAATAAGATGAAATCTGTGATACCAAAGGAGGCCATCCTTGCGACTACTTTGTCACTTCCAAGGGGGTCCTTTTGGAATCACAGAGAGAGAGAGAGAGAGTGCCTACAAACCCCGGAAATTTGTCGGACCCTACATCTCCAGTAGTCATGGAAATGGGGTGCCGTTGTTTTGGTAGACGTTTTGTAAAATAAATTGTCAGGCCCCTCTGCAAAAAACCGGTTCAATTTTGACATTGAAAGTCACGCAATGTTGCGCGAACTTCGCCCCTCAAACCCCATGGACGATTGTTCATCTTATCATGATTAGACTTAGGCCCAGTTATAGAATGCATATTCTATTGTTTGCTTCCCTTCGAGTCACTGGTAAAATGTAAAATGTATCCTAAGTCTAACCCAGTTATCATTGGGGCTCGGGCATATCAGTTTCCCACGCGGAGAGCGCGTAAACACGGCATTGATCACTCGGCGTCTCGGCGTCTCGGCGTCGCGCCAGGTGTGTGCACGGATCTTGGGCATGGTGTAGCGCGTCTCCGGGTCGGTGTTCAGCATCCTGCAGGCCATCCTTTGCTGCACCTGACCCCCAATTGCAGCTAACCCTGAATTGGTGGTTTGGACTTTTAGTGTGCGGATTTGAACCCCTGTTGCTTGCAAAGCGTAAATGGGCAACCAGGCCAAACCTCCAAACAACCAATTAGTGGGAAGCTGATAATGTCACTGGTTCCCATTTGCCCCCTACAGGAACCAGGGGTTCATTAATGTTGACCCCATATTTGTCAACCCCAGTTTATAGATACAAATTGTCAGTTACTCACTCGTTGGGTGTTTTCAAACAAGAAGGAGTTGGGCCTCAAAACATGGTTGCTGTCCGTGTCTTCCATTTGGCGCTCTTGCTCCAGTCTCACCAACCTGAACCCAAAAGCCTATAGCCCAACATAGATCAGCTTCCTTCCAATTGGTGGTTTGGTGCCGGTGTGGTTCCCTTTATTACCCTCTACAAGAACCAGAGTTATCTCCAAAGCTATCAAAACCACCAATTCAGAGATACCGCCCACTGAACGTGTACCCTGACTATTCCCCTTCCAGCCATTCTCTGGTGGATCTATACCCCAACCTGGACCTTTCCGAAGGAAGCGGCTTCTCCTGGCGATGAGGTCTCTGACACCGTCGGAGATGAACTTTGGCGCCTGCTACAAGCCCGAAAGTTGGCATTGGGCAACCCCCAAATTGGTTCTCCAGTTGGGAGCCCCTTAAACCACCAAAAAGGGGCGGGTACCCCGAAAAAACCGACACACCCACATCCATGGCCGGCTTCCCTTTCACCCAAAAGGGGTTGGAAACTTTGAAAAAGCAAAAGGTGACGTCACCTGCTCGATACCTGGGATTGCAAGGGTCTAAAGTAAATATGTAGGGCAGAGTTATCCAGAAAACAACTCAAACATGGGCGGGGGTGGAAGGTGGTGGGGTGGACAATTGGTCCGGAATGTGGTTGAAAACGCCCAAACTAAAACTGTTGACCCATCTGGGCAAAGTACAACGGGTATTATTTTCACCGATAAAGAACAAGGTCAAACTTTTGCAGATGGATGATTCAATGTTCATGAGCTCTCAATGGACCTTGCGGTGCCTCGTTTCGGTTGCTTCCATGTGATTGTTTTGTCCACAGCTTTTTTGAGCATCCAAAAAAGCGATCCGATGGGTTTGCAAAGTTGAAACACTTCCTGGACCCCCGTTGACATTCAAGCACTCGCGTTTCCAAAGGCAAGCCGAGGGTGATTACCAGTCACTGGAGCAACCCCCCACCCCCCGGTTTGTCAGAAGACAGTTGGCTGGCCAACCCAAAACGGAGTAGTGAACTCCGAAGGTAAGCTCGAAGGATGGTGGATGTGTGCACAGACATACATATCTAATGTATGTGTATACAATACATGTTTGTGTATATATATATATATATATACATGTGTTATATATACACATATATGTTATATATGTATATGCAGCACTCATGGTTCGCATGGCAAAGCAAAGAGAGCAGCGGTGCGGCCCCGTTTAGCTAGTGCTGCAGGTATACATCATACACACCAAACAATTATAATGTATGCGCTTCTTGGCTCCTGTGCTGATGTATATATATATAAATAATTTTGTATAACTCAAATTCCTCTTGGGTTTTGTAGTTTGGAGTACGCCAAGCAGCTAGGAACAGCCCCTCCCGCCCCTTCGAAAGTAACGAGACAGTAAGCCAAGGAAGGTTTTTTTCCCCAAGTGGTGCCCTTGCTTGTGAAAGACTTTTCAGGGGTTCACTGGATTCTTCCCCCCATGAAAGCGCAATTGAGGAGGGAACCCTGCGTGTTTTATTGGTAAAGGGGATGACTTTGTTTAACCCAAGGGGGGGGATGGTTCACCCAACTGCCATGCTGTCGCTTTTGTTGGGGCTTTGGAAGCGGCAGCGGGCCTGATAGTCAGCGTTCAAGATTTTCCGGTACAACGCCGAGGTATTCTGGTCCTCGAAGGGCAAGTACCCGCCTGCGAGCTCTGCATTTCAACCAAACCGAGCTCCGAGTTGCAACGAAAGAGCCCCGCGCTTTGGGAAAAACTGGTTGGTTTGACGAATAGGGCTATATGCCAAGTGTTTTTTTGAAAAAGATACCCCTGCGGTTTTTGAGGGGAATGTTGTTTGGTGCGACCGAGAGGTCTGCCCTTTCAGTGGCAGTCTGTTCGGCATGTTTGAGTCTCACCCCGCTGAAGTATGGGGGGGGGGGGGGGCGGCAGTCGTACAGTCTTACTTGGATGCTCAAATTACGTAGCAAGTCTTGTCGCCACGGTTGTATGTGGTTCAATAGGGGTTGGTTGACTCCGAACATGTTTCCAACCAGGTGTTCTTACTTGAATGCACCAACTTCTCCGAAACCAACCTGGGAAGCGAAAGGACACCAACTCTTTGAGGGAGTGGAGTTTGCATTGAAGGCACATCTAACCCCACAAAAACATACGGGGAAAAAAGACCATGAAGGTGAGCAAATTCAGAACGTGAAAATGAAAAACATGAACACGTTAATGGTGATAGTGGCGGTCCTAAAAATAGCTACCTTCAAAGGACACCCGGGGTTCCGGCTGAGTTGACTCGGAAAAAGTTCACTTCGGCCCCGACCAAAATCAGGAAGACGCCAATCAGCCAAAAGTCGAGAGGTTGGCAACTCAACGGGCAAGTTTACTGAAAGGTCAATGGCGGTCCCCAATAAGGTGTCTTAACCATGAGGCACCTGTAGTTTCTCTAATGGAAATCGGGATTTATGAAGCCCCACTAATTCAAAATTTAACAAGATCCCTGACAGCATACACATGAGCCGCCCCAATCACCTCTACCAGCTGATTCAGAGCATCCAAATCCTTGTAAAGCAGGTGGATTTTGGAGGCATCCTTCTACCAGAAACCATTTTAATCCTGGGCTTAAGTCTGGGTTGTCTCAAATCAAGACATGGAACACCCAAAACTGGATGTCTTCCTTCAATTTCCCTGTCCAACAAAGCAGTTTTTTCGTTTTTCTTTTTGATTTTTCTTTAAACCCATCCAAAAGTACTAGGAAAGTGTCAACAAAACATTGGGGCACCACTTTGACCCCGATGTTTCCAGCTTTCCGGGGACTTCCGAAACGCTCAGGCCCCAGCACACGAGGGCGAAGAGAATCACCCCGCAGCTCCAGATATCGCAGCGGGACGGCACCTTTGTCTTTAAGGTTGGACCCCCCACAATGGCGCAACGGTGTTCCTTTTGGTTCAGACTGTTCAATCCGGCTCCAAAAAATGACCCAGGGTGCCAACCAACGGAGCTTTTGCGGCCCGCAAAGTCCCACAACCTTCACACCACCCAGAAGCCCTGCTTTGATAATTCTATCATCGGATGTCGCTCGAATGGCCATGCCCGTCGAGGCAATGGCCTTCCGGTTTGAGAGAGCAGCTTGGATGGCGCCGAAAGAAGGTGGTGGCGTGCGCATCCCATATTCCTGCATGTCCTCCTTGTTGTTCTGAGGATAGTTCACAATTGGCATACTTTTCCGGGTTGCTGAAAAAAGAGAACCCCCTCAAGGATGGAAAATCCCACACGCTAGCAAAAAAGCCTAACGGCTAAGTCTAAAGCAGCTGGCTGAATCTCCCTGTGCCAAATTGCTTACCTGGCCCCATCATTTGGGTGTGTCTGTTTTCAGGCGACCCCCCAACATGTACGCTTTGCTCTTGATTTCCAACCAAAAGGGGACGAAAACACGCCTAGTTCCCAAAAAGTGAGCAAAGTCTTGTGGTTCGTTGATCCCTTGCCTTGCTAGTGATCTGTTCTAGTGGATATGTGACAAATCCATACAAATCCAAACGCCTTGAGGCTTTCTCCTTCCAGGGCTAGACTTTGACCTCGAAAAGGTAGAACTTTTAAAACCCACAGGGCCAAAGGTGAAAGGTTTCCCTACGTCCCTCGTTGCCGTGGGGCACCCAGGGGGGTCCCTTGAACAGCAAATTCCAGGTAGGCTCCCGGAAGTGCCAAGTTGGCCCACAACTGACCGCGATGGTGTTTGGTGGCCCGCCGCCAGCTTGGGCCCAGGTCATGGTCCAATTCTTCCAAAACAACTATCCGGAGCGGCTGAAGGAGGGTAGTTAACTCTGGCATCATGGGTGGCGAGGGGTGCCATGGCTCACGCACCCGCAAGCTTCTCACACGCTTTGGTTTGCTTAGGTTTGGGAGGGGCGGAAAAACCACCAGAAATGGAATCCAAACCATCAGCTAAGGGCAAGTGAACTGGTTCAACAACAAAACGAATCTGTTGTTTCTGAAGGTGTCCTACGATTCTGGTTTGAAAATCGCCCCAAAAGGAACTTCAATTGGCAACCAAAAGGGTGATGTTTAAACCAACCTTAGAGGGAAAGATAGGACCACCAAATGGTGGTGTCCTTTGGTTTCCCTTTTAATCGACCCCAATAAAAGTACCCTCAAAAAACACACAGAAACCCAAACACAATAATTTAGGGCTATTTGGAACTAGCAGATTGATATGTTGCTCACTTTCTGAGTAGATTGGCCCACAAAAGTCCAAACTTGTTTTCCACCAGAATGGGCGTGGCTTTTTATTGGACCCAAAAAAAATGTATATTCTCTCTTCGGTTTCCGATTGAAACCAATAAAACAGGGGTACCATCCACAACAGTCGCACCAAAAATGGGGAAGCGTTTCAAGTCCGGCAAAACAAAACAAACATTTTGTTGGGCTCAGGGACAAACGAAAACCAGCCATTCTGCAGGTACCGCCCGGAGACGAACTCCACCCCCTACCAAAACAACCACCCACCCACCCCCCAAAAAAACAACAACAACCAACCCACCCCCCACCCCCCACCCCGAAAAAAAAGAAAAGAAAAAACAAAGGAGAAAAAAAAGGAAAATAAACACACACACAACTAGTCTTTCCGCCGGGCCACGTAGCGTTGCCCCGCCACCATCTCAGGGGCCGCGTAGCAGGGCGAGCCGCAGGCTGTTTTCAACAGCTGGCCGTCCTCGCGTTTGGCGCCTTTTTGTTGGAGGGTACCACCCGCATTCCAGCAATTGAACTCCTAGGCTTTAAAGCATTTTTGGGGGAACCGAACAAGTCCCTACTCCCTTGGGTTTCTGACCCCTTACCTTCACTTTCAAGTCTCCAAATGTGTGGTCGGCCCTGCATCGGCCCTCCGGAATGGGACTCAGAAACTGGGGATATTCATCACTTAAGTGGGGTCATCCAAGAACCCCGAAGAGCTCGGGGCGTAAGCCATGCAAAGGACCTGCAAAACTAGTGCATGGGAGAAACCAGTGGATTTGGTCCACAGGGGCCTGGTACGGGAACTAATGAACCGCGGCCTCACTTGTGGCGTCACCGCCAGTGAGGGAACCAAGGAGGCCGAGCCGTCCGGGATCATCATTCTTTTCAAGACCCACTCGATATTGGGGGGGAAGGGGGTGTCAAAATGGGGCACCCCAACCAAAAAATATTTCCATGCCCCTTTTGGCGTCCCTTTACATAAGCAAACCCCAAACGTGGTGCCTCACAAAAATGACGCGAATCCTGATAATATTGCGTGTGAGGCAGCTTCCGGGTAGACCCGGACTGTTTGGACAAACACATGTGAGCCGCGCCTTTACCTAATTGGCAGTTGCTTCTACTGTCGGTTCAAAAGGTTTTGGTTGTGCCTCGCTGTAGACCCGGCTAAACCAGGGAGAGACTTGGGCTTGTCTTGTCAAAGTAGAGGAAAACAAAATCGGTGGTGTTTGTTTGGTTTCGCTTTCAAGCCACCCCATATCCTCGAAACAAACGTACTCACATATGACATGAATTTAAGGAAACGCCTGCGTGGGAACCGACCTTCAGTCAGGTGTCATGCATAGATTTGCGCCTGTACAAAATCTCAAATCGGGTTCGTATTTGACCCAGGCCGAAACTAGGTCCTTAGGAAACACGAGGAAACTCCTGATCAATTTTCTGCACTGGGTTCATGCAGCGCCTCAAAGCAACCCTGCAACTTCTGAATCACAAGGGGATCTGCTGTTCAGCCGGGCAATGGTAATCGACATGGCGAAAAGGCATCCTAACAACGCCAAGTCCCCCCCAAGAAAAAATACCCCAAAAATGTATATACAACAAACAACAGCAGCTCTCCAAAGTTCCGTTCCGAAGCCCATCCAAAGCCCCGTGCCTGGTAGGTGTTGCTCAAACCAAAGTCTACAATCTTGATGTTCTTTTGGTCATCCAGCAGCAGGTTCTCCGGTTTCAGATCGCGGTGCACCACGTTCACCCTGAGAGCCCAAACGAATGCTTGGCTGAACATGAGATCAGGAACCCAAGCGGTCTGGGCGTGTCTTATCGGGTGTCCTTTGAAAAAAACCGAAACCACAACACGAGTTGTTGCAGATAGGTTTGATAGGTGTGCTTGCAAAACAAAAAAGGTACTCTGAAATGTAGACTTGTCGATTTTTGCCAAGAACGCCCGCGTTTGGATCGATCCTGTTCTCACTCATCGCGGCATGACTAAAATACGCCGTGGGGTCGGGCCGTAGGCTTCCTGATCCTTCTACCAGGCCTTTGGGCACCGCAAACGGCTTGCCATGCACATCCACCGTGCTTGGATGCAGCTGTCAATCAACGCCCTCAGGTTGGAGTTGTCCTTTAAGAATCAAACACGCATTTTGTTGCTTTGTCGTTGGTGCTTTCAGTTTCTTGTTTTGGGTGGTTTGTATATATCGCACCGTGGATATGGGTGCGAATTTCAATTGGGCACTCTCTTGTGGACATCATTTGGGTGGACATTTGAATTTAGGCCTCAGCCATTTCGGAGGGTCTTCGCCGTTAAGACTTGTAGCCATACAAGCTGTCAAGAACGCATGCTATTGTCTTTTTTCCCGGATCAGTCAACATCTCTGCACATACCAAAAGCACACACACACACACAGAGAGACACGTCTTCGAGATGCCGAAGAGGTTTGGTGACCCACGACCCGGAAAAAACACAAAAACAAAAACTACCAAAGCTCGCAATCTGGCAACCAAAAGGCGACTTTCCAAACCATAAGGTTGTGAAAGAGGGGGGGATTAGCTGAGAGCCCCAGGGTTTGTTAAGGTTCCTAGGGTTTAGCCTTAGGAACCCCTGCTTGGAGCACCTCCCTTTGAGGGATTCCCACTTGAGGCATTGGCGCTGGAAACGCCTGTGACATCGAAGAGCCTTTTGGAAGGCCCTGTGACGCTGTTCTTTCTGACCAAAGGGACATCCAGAGACACCTGTAAAAACCGCTTTTTATACTACTTACAGTTGATTCAATTGGGCTGGGCTCGTCTCAAATAAACCGGCGATCAGTGTCTTCCCTTTCCATTTGGTTTCCACCGCTGTCTCAGACTCCGACCTTATGATTTCCTGAACGAAAACCCAAAGGCTCGCGTGTTCCGATCTTTGAAACCTCGAGGCATCCCAAGATAACGCTAGCCTCTCAGAGTCATTGGACAGGGTGGTTCCATAAAAGGACTGTCTTCGAACTCCCTTCTATCAGCTTCCATGAGAGGGAGGGTACATGTTTACAAGGTCTTCACCTCTTCCTTTTGGCTGGCTTTTTGCATTCCAGAGCCAAGAGCATTCCAAAGCCAAGAGGGATAATGGCCTAAGCAATTTGAATAGCTTTTTGTTGGGTATATTAAAACCAACGGCCTGGTCATTCTCTGGGACTAAACCAGTAGTAACGATTTAGCCTTGTGCATTGCCCTCTCTCCAACAAGATCGCGGCGTTCTTGTAGAGTAGGGCCTTTTTATAGTTGCAGTACATGTCCTTCATTAATTGAACAAAAGAAACATGTTCAAAAAGGGTACCCTCAAAAGAAAATAGCCCCACCTGGGTTGTCTCAAAATAGGGGTGTGGCTCAAAAATTACAGAAGCTTTCTGTTTCTTTTCCCATTTACCCAGGTGCCGTTGTGGGTAGCCTTTTGTTGAGCCACAGCCATAGGGGGACCCGTTTTCCGTTTTGAAAATTTGAGGTTTTGGGATCAGGGGGCCGATGGATCTGCTCCACGCCGGCCATGATCTGATGGAAGAAGCGCGCCGCCTCGCCGAGTCGCCAAATCCCCGTCCCCGTGACCCCCCGGCAGGTGACTCGGCGAGGAAGAGTTCGAGATCGAGCCCCTCGAGTGGATGGGAAGTTCAACAAAGTGGTGAAAACTGGGGGGCCGTTTTCTTTTCAGGGGTCACTGGAATGAGTTCCCCGAATCAAAGGTTGATCAACTTAGTGGTAGTTTCCATTGAATCCGCCACTTATGGAGGTTGCAAGAGAAGGAAATGGCTCGGACAGCTTGATTTTTGCTAAGTATGATGGTCACCCAGTCGGTGAGTTCAGAATGGGAAGGGAGGCTTCCGTGGGATTGCGTGGGCTGAATACAAAAGAGTGTGTGTGTGTCCCTCCAAACGGGTCGGCGTGGGGGCAAAACCGGGCTTGTCCTTGCCCGGTGGTGTAAGGGTGTTTGCCCCCGACAAGAGTTGAAGCGGGCTCGTGGCAAAATGACCAGCATCGGGATGCTTGTGGTACGCTTCCCACCCGGAAACGGAACCAAGCCAGCAAGTATCAGCTGGCAGACTTGGTTTCGCTAGAGTTGGCTCTGGCACAGCGCTATCAATTCGATTTTGCGACCCAAATGATATGATTGCATCATGATTGCCACATGTCCTTTCTATAGGTGCCTGCATTCGGGGCCCGGGATTCCTCGCAAGCTTCACAAAGAATCAGGGGGCACTTTACCCGAACCCCTCTTTCAGGGGGCGGGGTGCCCTTTGGGAATTGACCGAAGGCTTCGAAGAACTGAGGCCACACTACTTTACCGCAGGGCCCTCAGATCCCCTGCTAAAAGTGAATAGCTTTTAGTGGGTGAAATACGGAAACTACCACCAAACCAACTGAAAACCTCAAAAGCTAAGGCACCGGATGGCTGGGAGCCACCAAGTCTTGATCTCACTGCTGTCCTCCCTGGTCATATGTGTTCTTCGACAAACAACCCTTGAATCCCCGGCGACATATGAAATGAGCTTCGGGCAGGTCGCCCAAAAACGAACTTGGACCCACGGGACGCGTGAAAATGCGATGTGGGGTCTGTCTTTCTTTTCGTGGGGCCCAAATTGTGCGGTGGTCCTTTTAGACTCCCTTCAAAAGCCACAAAAAAGGGGGTACCCTAAAAAACACACACACACACACACAGACACACAGACACACAGACACACAGACACACAGGTACACAGACACACAGACACACAGACACACAGACACACAGACACACAGACACACAGACAGACACCCATATTCTGGTCTCCATAGTCTCAATGTTGAAACCATGCCCTGTGCGGTTTCCTGAGGGTGTCGCGAAAGGGTTCCCACTGCATCCACTTGAGCAGGGTCAAAATCCCGTACCCCCAGTGAACATCCCAATCCCCACTGAAATAGACTAAAATGGGTGGTGCACCTACCCCCAAATGGGATACAATTGGTTTTGACCCACAACCATACCCAATCCGGTAAGTTGAACTCTATCCCCAGTTCAGTCCGCATCTCATGGGTTTCTCAAAGCAGATCAACCCCTCGGCATGAGGACCTTTTCTGTCGACGTGAACCGCTTACCTGCCATAGGACCCGTGGTCTTCCAAGTAATGAGATAGAACCGCGTTCGGAGTGAAGTGGGTCTGCCTGTTTTAGGGCTACCTTTTTCGTTGATGGTTTTTAAGCCACTTTCCTTTGGTGATTCCCCCACTTTGAGACCACCCCGTATCTGGGGGAGGCCTTAGGTTCAGCACGGAGCCATCGCAACGGGGCGTAGTCACAAGCCACGAGCCCGTAGGAGTTGCTGCAGCTATGAATCAGAATGATTGGCCTTTTGGGCCAATGCGTATGTGTTTATTTGTTTGAAACCACCGATGCCGAACCACCTTTGCCGGCCCAAAAAGGGCTGTAACCCCAAGACAAGGACATATTTTCTCGAAATACGGACCCCTTGACTTCAGGTGCTTGGCAATTGTCTTTCGTTTCCCTTAGAAATCCAAAGAGGGAACCCCGTTTACGAAGAACCGCTCAAAACGCGGACCCCTGCTTTTACCAAAAAGGTCTGCAGAGCTGGCGAGCGCGCCTCGCTCTCCTTCACCCGGCCCTGCGCCACGATGTAATCAAAGAGCTCACCGCCAGGGCAGTACTCCATAATGAGGTACCTCCCGAGTCCAAAGACCTTTTCTAGGTCCTCCAGAGAGGTTAGAACAAGAGTACCCTTTTCCGGTAGTCTATTTTAGTAGGGGAACCCTCCCCCAAAAAAGGGTAAAAGGGCACTACTGGGGGACCTAGTTTTGCCCCCTGCCCTACAAACTGCCTTCAGACGTTCGCCCACCCGATAAAGAGGCCCCCGAATGGCGGAAAGGCCTTGCTTGGCTTTGGCCGTATTTGGCCGTGTTTGGCCGCATGAGGTACCTCCCATCCGGCACAACCGCTGCACCTGGACCCCGAAGACAAGTTTGACTTCTCCGAAGGAGCCTATGGGCTCCATAAGGAAAATTGGTGGTTGCTTAACAGGATGTGAAGAGTATCGCATATGGGGGGCTGCCTTCGTGGTCCCTGAAAGCGGTTGGTTCCCTCTTGGTTCCCCAAGCACCAACCAGGGGGTCATAGGCAATTTGAGAGGTTGCTTTCCCCGAGTAGGCGTCACTAGTTGCCTGGGGGGGTTTAGGCTCGGAAGCTTCAGTTTATCGACAAGTGCGGTTCAAGGGCTCAAGTTGTTTTTTTCTCCGAAGCTGTCTGGAATCACAAGGCCCTTTGTTGAGTTTTGCCATTTTCAGCCACTGTTGCTGGTAACTCTGGGCGTATTTGTTTGGACGTCCGGTGCCATGTTTTTTCAGCCGAGAATGTGCAGCGGCAAAGAGTTGAACCCCTGAGGTGGCAAGTCTCTTACGTTTCACAAAGCGATACCACTAACTGTTTTTCTATTAGAGTTCTCCTGGTCCCCCAGAATTTTCATAACGCTCATAGTGCCCACGCATATGCCGCCTTCTTCGGGGCCGATTTTAAGGGCTCGGGTCTTCTGTAGTTCAAGGTGTCCACGGTACACACACACACACACTCACATCTGAAGCTGGATTCCCAAAGGAAAAGGCCTTACTTCGGCATGGCCCAAGTCTGGGGCACACTACACATGATATTCCTCATGGCCCATTGAGTAAAATTGCAGACCTCACTTGAAGGGTTGCTCCCCTGAATCGATCCAGCCAACACTCACCGGGATCTCCAATGCATCACTGCAGGTCGTGAGTTGATGGTGTAGAGCGACAGGCATCGGAAGGCAATGGCTTCCAAGGTCTGGGGACTGCTTTCAGTCAACAGCTCCCTTTTCACAAATGTGGGCATGTGGCCTGCGGTTGGTCTGGTGTTGCGTTTGGTGGCCGTGTTGGTTGTTGTTTGCTTGTGTAATGCTTGTTGTTTACCGTTTGTTGTGTGATAGTTGTTGGTTGTGATTGTGGTTGTGCAGTTGCTGTTCGCGGACCCAACCAGGACGAAAGCGGCGAAGGGGCGCAGTTGACGAGGCGTCTCAATGATCTCGTAGAGCTGGATGATGTGAGGATGCTGCACCTCAATCAATCCCCATAGATCTTGATGACAGATCTCGTGGGGTCAAGGTACCTGGAAGGGCTGGACCCAACCCTTTGATCTTTGGGAAACGGGTCTAAAGAAAACGGCAACAGGTGAGCTTGTTTTACCCCCCGAAAGGTTCGTCACGAAGTCTGCAACCAGGTTGACCAACTTACTGCAGTTTGTCTTTTGTAATCCAGTTTCTGAGCCATGACCTTTTCAAAGCGGAACAGCCAAAAGCCAAACACAAGACCTCCGACCCGAGAAAATAAATCCAGAAAGGATGTGCATGGAGAAAACACATCAACAAAAGATGACTCCAGTTGATCCAGTTTGTCCCCACTATTTCCCACAGCATCAGATCATCACCCCACTTAAAGGAAGCTGACGTTGAATGGGCCCAAAAGGTGATGTGAACAAGTCCACCCTGAAACAGAACATCTCGGGACCCCCTTGCAATCAAGTCCCATCGTTCATGGCTTGATCCCGACCCAGAAGCAAATCGCCATGAAGAAAAGAGCTCAAGTGTGTTCTTTGAGGGCACCTTGTTGTTGCGCTTGGCTGTAGAGGACCCCAACCGAAAATCCGAAAATCCGTGGAAGCGGAGGGCATCCCAAAGACGAGCGATGCCCCGACGGTTTCGACGGTGGGGTTTGGGATCGGGTCCCCGCGCCAGCTTCAGGATGTGGATCTCCCGCGCCACGCGCTCCACGTCGGCCACGTCCTAGGTGCGGACTCGGACGCGGCGCCGAAACCGGAGTTCCCGGGTGGTGCGCATCGGCGCGTGTTGGGCAAAGCGCTTGGGGTACACAGAGAAAAACCCCGTTCTGGGTGGTTTCAGGTATGTATATATATATATATATACAGGTACAAAGGAAACATGCAAGGGGCCTGGCATATGCGAAGGTTGGCCGGGGCGTGTTCTGTTTTAGTATCTGATCTGGTTGCGTGTGTAGGAGAAGATGGGGGCCTTTCCGAAAACATGCATATCTGTGTGTGTGTGTGTGTCTTTTCTTGGGGCAACCCCCTTTTGGCTCGTTAGGAGAAGCACCCGCAAAACCTGGAAATATTCAGGCTGGTCATGGTTCTCTTACAACCCCTAAATCACCGCAGTTCCGCTAAGCCATCAACCATGTTGGGCAAAGATGTTGTTCACAGCAATGCACGGACAATATCACCCAACATCGTCGAAAGAAGTGGAGTGCCCAAACTGGAACGGCCCAATTCAACTACATGCTCTTTACTTTCCTTCAAAGTCACAAAAGGCAAGCCAGCCGTTCACGGCCGTCAATTAGATCCTTTTGACAACCTCTTCGTAGGTGTAAGTTATATCAAGTTGCAACCAGGCCTTGATTTTTTGACTCGTACAATCTGGTTGCAACCTCCTCACCTGATTCCCTGGCATGGCTTGAATGTCCAAGCTTTCTTTGGGGGCCTCCCAAGACGCTTGGGTTGTCACCTTGGACCCCACACCCCCTAAAGTGCCTTCTCCCCCAAGCGAGTCGCCAAGTTTGGCCTTCCCTCCCCCTCACCATCTCAACCTGAAACCCAGAAATACCTCCATGGTCCCCCTTGACTCCACTTACCTCCCCATTTGTTCCCCATTTGAGCCACAATGTCAAACCCGGGTAGATGGTTCTCAGCAAGGGGCAGTCCCAGCCAGAAATAAATAGGTGCGGAATATCCGCCTTCTTAAAATTCTTGAAGCATGGTCATGGTTCTGGGATTACGTCCCTTTTTAACGCCGGGTTTTGAGTGTGACTCATTTGGGGCCCCTCGAGCTCCCCCGAAAAACCCGCCCTAACTCGCTCGCTCGTTCATCGAAAAAGTCGCGCTGAGGCGCCGGCCACGATCCGCTCCTTCTCCAAGATCTTCACGGCCACCTGTTCCGATGCCACCGAGAAAGAAGGCCCACCAGACAAAACGATTAGAAAGATTTCTGGACTCCTCTGAGGGATCCCGCTTCTCATCACCCGCCATGGCCTTCTCTGCAAGATCACAAAGAGCTCGCGCTTTATCCTCACGCCGTAGCAAATCATCATGCAATCATCGTCTGCGCGCGCCCGGATGCAGCGAGCTTTCGAAGAAAGAGACTCCAACGTCTTGACGCTCTTCTTGATGGAAGTGAGGTGGCCCTCAAGGCAGCCCGCCGAGGATTGAGACAGCTGAGACAGGGTTAAACAGCTCTGTTCGTGGTTTAGTGGGTGTCTCAGGTGTCTCAGGTGTCTCAGGCATGTCTCACCCCTGTCTCAGCTGTCTCAATCCTCGGCTGGTTGGGAGCGACACCATCAAGGCAGCCGGCGGAAGATTGAGACACCTGAGACACACCTGAGACAGTTTTGGTCTTCTTTTAGTGGGTGTCCCACTTTTTTTTCAGGACGTCTATATTAGTAGGGGAACCCTCCCCAAAAAAGGGGAGAGAAGGGCACCGGACAAAATGGCTTGGTAAACCATTTTGATCCAAAGGGGGTTCCCTGATCACAGAAACTGGGAGCCTAAAACCAACCACATCTAGGTCCTCCAGTTAGCCGAGGTTGGAGTAAGTTGGTACCCACTTTTTTTTCAGGACGTCTATTTTAGTAGGGGGACCCTCCCGCAAAAAAGGGCAAAAGGGCACTACTGGGAGACCTAGAAATGATCCGAACGCTTTGTTCCATGACGGATTCATTTTGGGTACTAATTCTTCACCCACACCCATTTGGCTGCTGCTCAAAAACAGGTACCATTTCAAAATGCTTTGCTCTGGCACATGTCTCTGCAAATGTTGGTTTGTCTGCAAAAGTTGCACCGGGCCAACGAAAAGTGATGCGATGTTCATGACAGACTTCTGCATTGTTTGTTTTTATTATTCTTTTTATTGTTTTTTTTTTTTTTAATAATGTGTCCAACACCTGAAACAAGAATTGGATCCCCGGGTAAAAGATCTTTACTATGGCTTGAACTCGTTTTACCCCCGTATGCAGACAGATCCCACTTCGGCTCATTCCCGCAACCCATTTGGGGTGTGTGTTTGTTTCGGAGTTAGTAGTACCCTTTTTGAGGCTGGTTCTTTTTGGGACTAGGAAGGAAACGGCCAATTTTGGGTAGTTACGGGCAAGGGAGCTAGTATTTTGCTAGTTGGAGTTCAGGGTAATGGAAAAACTACTACTTGTGCTAAGCTTGCAAAGTATTTACTAATACAGTAATGCAGGACAAAAATGCTTGCTAGTATCTTTTGATATTCAGGAATTGAGACAAACCCATGCAGAGATTCCTTAAGGAAGAGGCATCACCTTTTTGCGGTGCCAAGAGCACCGGCGGGTTGGCCACTTCTCCGGACGCTCCTGAGTCCCCACGAGCATCGAAAGTCACTTCCCAAGCTTTTACCAGGCCGTCCAGTCGCTTGGAGCTGTTGGGATGAAGCTGTCTTTTTTCCCGTTCACATCACCCCAAGGCAACCAAAACGGGGATCTGTTTGTCACCTTTAGAGGGGACGCATGACATCGCACAAGGCAGTATCCCTTTCAATTCCCAACCAAAACGGTGACGGTCTTTTTTTGTCGCCTTTAGAGGGAACTCAATTCAAAATTTCCCCGTCTTGGGCCAAGGACTGTCCAAGCGAAACCAACTCTCCGCCCTCTGCCTTCTCCCCTGTGAGGATGTGAGTGCCCAGCTTGACCTTGCCAAAGGTGCCCTCACCGATCGTCTTGCCCAAGATGTAGTGGCCTCAGCGACACTCGGCACAACTCTGACAACTTATTGCTTGCGCATGAGACGACCTGCTGCTTGGGAAAATATTTCTTTTTAAAGAGAAAAACAGAAAAAGGAACTCAAAAGGGCCAAAAGGGCCAAACGGTTGGTGAAGTCTGGAGGAAAGATGGGATGCCTGGGCTTGCAGAAAAACTCCTTGGCTTGGACCAAATCGATCAAACCTCCCTGGCACAGTTGCCCGAAAGTTTTGAAAAAGAGATTCCAAGGGCCAGGATCGAAGCCCTTCAGGTCGCTTTTCTGTCAAGTGCGGCCACGAGTTTGGCCTTCCCCTGTCAAGTCCAGTCGTCCAATTGGGCACCAGATGAACAGACTGAGATCTTGAATATTTTTCAAAAAGAAAGCCATTGATGGTTCACACCGCTCTCTCCAATCAAGTAGCCCGTGTCAAGGGCACCAGCTTCAAGCAGGGATTTGGAAACCAAAAATGGGTGGGTTCCTTTTCCCAGAGGGTAAATATCCACCTGCAAGAATCCCTCTCGAAAAATGGCCTGAGGATGAAGTTTTGCAACAACTTGCACGATCAGTGCAAATAAATTCCAAAAGGAGATCATTTCCCTGTTGGTGACGAGAAAACAAAGGCCTGAACGACCCGCCTCCCAGTTCTCGCCCTTCTTCCCGGTCCTCCTCTCCCTCTGCCCCACCTCCCTGAGCGCCGTGCCAATTGATTTGGCGCGCATACCCTTGGGAGTGGACATTCAAACCGCGCGCGGGCGCGGCGAGGAAATCGGCCGCGCGCTCTACGGCATGCCGTCGCAAATTCTTTGTCGCGCCGCGGCTGCGGTGGGTACGGGTTCGCATACGATGCACAACCCGCAAGCGCAAGAAACAGAGATGATCCAACTAACGCAAGGGCCTTGATCATTGCAAGCATGATTCTCCAGTAATGATGTAACCATTTCTTTTTTCAAGGCCCCCGAGCGCTACTCAGAATGGGGAAGTTATCCATCAAATAGTTAACAGCTAAATAATTAGGTGCCGAGCATGGCTGGTCATCAGCGGGACAACAGGATTTGGCTGTATAGTGGAACAAGTTGGGCCCCTTGCCTATTGCGATTTTCCCTTTCAAACTTGACATTTGCCCGTGCCGTTCCCCTTTTTAAGCGACCCCTGGTCAAACTGACTCATTTGTTTCAGAAGGCGCAGTGCTAGTCAACGCATTTCTCCCAATCAGCTGAGCAATTCAAACAGATACAGCCTGAAATTAGCAATTCCCTGAAAGGAACCTTCATCTCAGGCTTGCTTTGCATTTTACAATACCCAACTTCCCCCCCCTTCACCGCTCCCGACTCTGAAATCCACCGCCTCTTCTGACGTTTTTGTGATACAAAAGGCCTATGGACTGCCCAGCTCGGTTCAAGTTAGTGCAACAATCCAGTTGATTTCCCCAAACGTGGAACCGATTCCGGTGGTTTTCTTGGGAAAACCACACCAGGTACCACGTTTGGTGGTTTGGACGGTGCCGCTCGCAAAGGCGCCTTTTTGCACTCAAACGATGCCGGATGGGCGAACAGGTCCTTCAAACTTTGAAGGCGGCTGGCTCATCTCAATGCCCCAGGCAGCCAACCCCCAAGCAGGGTAGCCGTGTCAGTAATCCAGGGGGTCTAGAATTAGGGGTATGCCTAAATACCGCTTTGCCCATGTTTTTGTCCGTTTGCCCATTTTGCCAGGTGTTGCTGACATTTGCAAACATTTGACACAACCATGCAAACAAAGAGCATGTTTTGCCGTGCGCCATGATTCAAGTTGATCAAACATTTGCCAAAAAAAGAAACATGTGCATCCAAATTGGAATGTGACTACCCCCACAATATTACTGCCAGAAACCGATAGAGCCTACCCAAAACTGATTCCCACCAACCCGCCACACCCATAGGGCGCCCGCCACAAAACCGATACCCCAGCAATACTGTCCGCTGCTCATACGGGGCACAGGCAACATGTGGTGTGAATGTAAAGGACGTGGGGAAAACTTGCAAGTCCCAGATTTAGAAAAGTTGGAAAGCCCCACGGCCCAAATCCACCAACCTGACTGCACTTGCGTTCCCGGTCCCCGAAACTCCCGTGGCGTATTCCCGTCCGAAATCCCATCCCCGATAGAGAAGTCCGGGGCACCAAAGGAACCTGACCAACTAAGGCGCCATCCTTTAGAGGCCTCTCAGAGCAATCAGTCACTCGGGCCAAAGACTTCCCCCAGCAGCTATGATCCACAAATCCCTTCCAGATCTGCAGTTGAAGGGTTCCAAACCACCTCGGGAGGGTTCCTCTGTTTTAAGACAACCCCACATGGTTGGAGTTAGATCAAACAGATGTACGAGATGCATCTTTTTTCCCTACTGGGCTGCTGCATGGACCCACCCACCCACCCACCCACACACACACAGAATGGGAAACCTTGCCCAAACGACTTGAAAACCAAAGGCGATCACCTTGGAAGGCCATGGCCAAACCTCAAACATGTTTGACCCTTTGGCTAAGCTAAGCTTCAATCTTTGGGCGGTGTCGCCGGCGTCCCGCCTTCTTTTTTCGGCAACGGCTAGTCTCGTTGATATGTTTTTCACTCCAGTGGCCTGTAGGGAACCAGGACGGCCTTGTCTTGCCTGGATGTAGAAGGGACATCCAGCCAAATGCAAAGGGTTCCACTGGACTACAAGTTTCTGCCCAGAAAACCCGTTTTCGTGAAGCTGTAACATGGGTTCAAAAGATATCCCACTGGAGGTCCGCGTTTTTGTTTCAATCTTCAAACTTCGAGTCCAATTCTTAATTCAGTGAAGCACCTACATCATAGTGAGCTTGTTTCACCCGCGGATCGGCGAGCTCGCCATAACCTTCCACGGGGCAAGTGAGACGCTCCGAACCGAGGCCCCGAGGCCCCGAGGCCCCGATGCCACTCGTTCGGCGGGGGATTGGCTCATGCGTTGGCCTCGACGAATTGGTGCGAGCTCATCCCTGGTTCCATGGTCCATTGCTCTTCCCACGGGGGTGAAATACTGTGGATGGACAAACTCCTGCACCACCTAGGAAACCATTGCTTGTTGGTATTTGCAGGGGAAGAACCATTTTTGGGTTTCTTTAGGTGGTGCAGTAGGCCACTAAACAATTGGAACGGGGCTGTATGTTAAAACTAAGTCCCCTGAGCAACATGTGAATAGTTCCCCAGCGCGCCATCAAGCTGTGCGTTTTACCGCATCACGTCGCGTGATCTTGAGTGATTTGGACCCTCGCATTACCAACCGATCTTGGTACATTGCTATCATTCACAACCCGGAAATACAGAATGTCCTGGCAATCTCGTTTGTCACCCAGGTGAGCTCGTTGTTATTTCTGCAGAACCCATAGATTTATCTGAATTAATATATCTTTGTATATATGTATATAAATATGTATATATATATATACATATGTATATGTGCCCTATATACATATGGCATATATATATATATATACAAAGTGTCCTTCCATTGCGGGGTTCGTGGACATTCTGCATTTAAGATCCAACCAGGGGAACACCCAAAGACCCCCAGGCTTGGAGGTTAAACTAACGCGCAAATGAGGCGAACAGCAAATGTTCGACTGTGTTTGGTCTTTGGTGTCCCTGGAGCTTGGTAAGGTCCCTGAGGAAATCATGCATGACCCAAAGGTATACATATGTCTATATACACACATATAAATATATACACACACACTTATTTCTGGTCGCACTCCCCATACGTGCATGCACATCTGTGTATATATACATATAACTACACATTTTCAGCAGGGTCAAAAGATTGGTTGGTTGGTTGGTTGGTGGTTGGTTGGTCGGTTGGTTGGCTGGCTGGTTGGCTGGTTGGTTGGTTGGTTGGTTGGTGTGTGGCCAGCACTTGTTAGTGAGGCCAGGCCCGCGCTTCCCCCCCGGCTGAAGCTTGGGGTTCAAGCCGGCCGGAAACATAAACGCAGCCAAAGCACAGGCCGTACCATAGGAAACCCAAGGCCGGCGCAACTAAGACAGGGCAGTGGGAGGGAACTGGGGGCCTGAGCAAGAGTGACGAAGAAGACACGGAACAGAAGCATGCAAGGCACCCTAGAACAGGCCTGGTAGGATGTGAGAATGGAAGGCTCGCCTGCGACGACAGTCAGGACCACACCTCCTTCCCAACGCAAATTCTTGATGCAGAGGCGAAGGCCAGCTGAAGGCCAGACGGCCGCGGAGACTGTGACAGGGTCGGCTCTCCTTGGCAGGAAGCGGCACAGCCACCGCTTGATCCGACGGTTGCTGAGCACAGGCGGCCGAGCCACGCCATGACCGGCTCCTGGATGGACTTGACTAACCACCGCAGGGCTGCCTGCAACGGAGGATGAACTGGACGGGGGTGAGGCAGCAACTGCAGACAACCAAGAGAACGCACAGTCGGGGCAGAGCTGAACGAGCGCAAGTTGCGGGTCAGCAGGAGGGGCATCCCGGAACAAACGACGCAGAAGCCGTATCTGGTGAACGCACTCTTGCCACGCGCCGGGCGGCCGTTACACAGGCGCGGGATACTGGCGGAGGTACAGCAGGGAGGCATTGGACAAGGACAGATTGGATCAAGTCGAAGCCGCCCAATGTGAAAGGACCTTAGAGCGCAGATCTGCAGATGCACCCTGACCGGTACCATCCAATCCCTCACACAAGGAGAAGAACAGATGAGTGGGACAGGCTAAGCAGGAGGAGGCTGTCCTCTTCAAGGTGTTGGAGTCACGGAGCATGCGCGACAAGGGAACTCGCCACGGCGTGTCGTAACGACTCTAGTTGAAGTTGGGGCGCAGGGGCGGACTCAATGGTCTCTGCCAAAAGACGCCAAGAAGGAGGGCGGGCAGGAGAGCTGTGCTCCACTAATGGGGGCGCGGCAAGAAAGTCAGCAAGCGCGGGCTCATGATCAACACGGCGACGCCAGCCAACAAGAACCGCAGAGTTGAGCAGCAGGAGAGGCTCAGCCCCACGTGGGCTGAAAGACCAGAAACCATCCAGGCGGCTTGCAGAGGCAAAGTGGGCAAAAAAGGCCTAGGCCGCGGAGGCCTGCGTGGCGAAGACGAAAGGTGTCTATGCAGTCAAAGGAAGGCACGTGAGCAGCGAGGGACGACAGACAGAGAACGTGCGACCCATGCCAAACATTAAGATCCAGCGAGGCGACAGAGTTAAAGTCACCCATGCAAATGCACGGTATCAGGCAGAGTTGCTCCCAACAAGCTGGACCAGTGAAGCCTCTTCGGCCAGCTTAGATGGATCACTATCGAACCCGGGAAGACTGGCTCCAGTCGCATACACGCCCACGACACGAACAGGACAGCCGCCGGAGAGACGTATAGCGCCGGCCAGGCCACGATCACCCGGAGCACGCGCAATATCACGCCAGCCAAGGATGGCACCGCGCCGCGCCGAACTGCCAGAACAACACCAGAGCGAGTGACACGCAGCGCTCCTGAAGGGCCATGACACACAGCAGTGTAACCGGCGGAGGCAAATCCATCAATGAGAGAGGGAGCAGACACGGAGGAGGTGAAGCCAATCTCAGAAACGCGTCCTATGTCCGCGACTACGCCCCCAACACATATCATCTCCTGCGCAGGACGCCTGGAAGGAAGGGAGAGACAGACGGGTGCCAACATCCGGATCGGCACGGGCATTTTCTGTCGCCTCCTTCAACTCAAGGAATCCGCGTCTCCAAGGGCTGGGAGAAGGCCCATGAAGACTGGACAAGCTGGAGTGCAAGACCGCACAGGGGCCGTAAGGCCGCGCAGGGCCAAGCGTGGACGGCTGAGGGCCACGCGCGGGCCGGGAAGGCCATGCAGGGGCCAAACAGCAAGGGGGAGAAGCAAGAAAGAGGGACAAGGAGGAGAAGATAGAACAGGGACGTGGCTGAGCACACGCACCCCGGACTAGGACACCACCCTGGCCAAGGACTTGGACAGCAGCACACGCACCCCAGAAAGAGTTGGAGAAGCAAGAGAAGAGGGAGAGAACACAAGGATGAGCGAAAGGACAGGACCGGGACGTGGCACAAGAGAAGAGGAGAGCAAGAGGAGGGGGACTGGGACGTGGCTGAGTCACACGCGCCCCGGACTAGGACACCGCCCTAGCCAAGGACGTGAACAGCAGCGCACCCCACAAAGCCCAGGAGAAGCGAGAGGGAGAGAGGAAGGGGCACAGAGGCGGCAGAGACAAGAGGCCGCGGAACGGGTGAAGAGAAAGACGCAGAGACAGAGACAGATGAGGCACTGCCCTGACGCCGGGGGGGCCGGGAGGGGCCACTTCGGGGGTCCACACCCCCCAGAAGAAAACGTCAGGCCCCGCAGGGTCAAAAGGAATCCGTTTGAGGTGTTTTGTGTCCCTGATCACTAAAGCATGTCGGTTCGTCTCCAAAGGGGGAGTCCCGAAAATGCGTGGGGCTCCTTTACTACCACCCACAAACGGGCTACGGGCCCAGCCCGCAGACGGGGTACCCCGAAACATTGCCAAGCTCATCCCTTGGCAGTTTTGGGTTCGCCCCGTCTTCCCTTGACCGGCAAAACATTGTCACGCCCAGTTGTGCCATTCTCAACACTCCCGAACTCCCTCTCTGGGTCATGGGCATGGTTCCCCTAGTATAACCCTTACAACGGTTGACTAAAACCCTGCCAAAGGTTTGATATCCCGCCCCACCAAAGCAAAGATACCACCAGAGCTCGGTTGCTTTCTGCTCCCCTGCTAAAAGTTTAACTTTTAGCTGTTTATGTGAAAACCCATTAGTTGGCAAAAAGTTCAAGTCCTAGCGTCCACGCAAAATGCAACAAAGAGAGGTGTCAGCACTTCCACGGCACTTCCCGTCTTGTCGCGTCGCGCCTTGTGGACCACCACGAAGATGAGAATCGCCGCGAGGACGGCGGCGAAGAGCAGCAGCCAGTAGAGCAGCGAGGAGCCCCGCCTGCGACGCGCGCGCGACTCGAGCCTCGCGACTCGAGCTTCGGGACTCGGCGCTGCGGTCCGGAGACCGCGGCCGTTTTGAGACCAGGGCGGCCTTGACCTGTTTTTGTGGCTTAGAGGGACACCGAAAGGAAAACCAACCAGGCTGGGGGGTGGCCGAAAAAAGGACGAGACACGCATCCAGTTGCCAAAAGCCGAACGGAGGTCCTTCTCATCCCTTGTCCAAACAACTGACCCTTCTGAAACAGCCAACCGCTCCTGCATTCCCCCCTTCACATCACCCCACCTGGCCGACAAGGGAACACAGAAGCACTCCCTTCGTGGGAACTTGACAAAAACTGGAACAAGGGAAAGCCAAAAAGGGACACGTAGGATCATGTTTGTGCAACTGAGATAGGGGATCCTGCCAAATAGAAGTAGGAGCCATGACAAGTTGAAGCCATGTTGAAACTTCTGGCTCGCTGTCCACGAGGACAAATCAAGAAACACCCCCTGGAAATATAAACTCCATATGTGGGCCATGGTTTCTCAAGTAGAACCCATATCAAAGTTATAAAGTCCCTATTGACGGAGTAATGAGCGTCCACCAACCCGAAAAGGAACCGGCCTTTTGAGCATGAAGCATAGGTCTATCAGAACCCCCAAGTCTGGGGTATCTTATATGGGGAGTTTGAACAGACCTCGTATTGGGGTTCTTCTCAAACAATTGGTGGGTGTGCCTTTTGAACATCCCAAAAAGGGTACCCTTAAGAAAAGATAGCCCCACGTGGATGGAGTGTCTTTCTGCAAGGAGGTAAGCTACTGTTCACAAGCTGATACTGTCCGTTGATCAAAAGGCAGCCTGTCCAAGCTGAGGAAAACAGGGCACGCCCTCGCCACTCTGTGAAATGTGTTGGACCCCTCTTTGGCTTGCACATGTTCAATGCTTACTTCGCAACCTTGCCTTGCTTCCTGACAAAAGGCATCCAAAAGCAAACCCTGAAACAGGGTTCCTGAAAATAGCTACGCAACAAACATCTGCGCTGCAAGAAATCCCTCTCAATGAGCAGGTGAAGGTGACGTTTTCACGGGCCCAAATGTATGCGAGGGATCCTGCCCCCCGTCCGTGGCAATGACTAACGCGCCTCTGTGCGTTGCTTGCTTGGGTCAGCTGATCTGTAGCGCCTGCATCGCCCAGGAGGGAAGTCAACCACAGTTGGACCAAAAAAGTGATGCTGAGAAACTGGCGTTCAAGGAAAATCTCGGAACCCCTGTGTGAGATGTATTCTGTCAGGGCTAATCATTGGGGCCCCCTTCCACTCACTAGAATGGCTCTCAGAACCTTTCTAAGTCATTCAGAAGGCTGCGAGAACCTTGGGTTGGGGTTTCCGGGCTTTGATCGTTTCCCAGAAGGCTCCTCTTTTCTCGGCCTTGCGCCCTAGTTGGATGCAAACCCTTGTGGCTTGCTTTTGTGGCAATGAAAGCGGACAAGGGACCTTTTCAAGAAAGAATGGTAGCCTTCCATCACCAAGGGCAGTAATCCAGAGGCGATTCCCTTCGCGGAAGCAATTGATCGGGAGATTACTCGCAGAGTCGCCGATCTTCGGTGTTGACTTCGCTGAAGCGAAATGAACGCGAGACATGTGGCCATGGGTCAAAATCCAAATCGTACCCCCAGTCAACATCCCAACCCCCACTAAAATAGACTAAAATGGGTGGTGCACCTACCCCAAAATGGTACCATTGGTTTCGACCCACAGCCAAGTCCATGTCAGCTGCTATCATAACTCCACGCGACACTTGTTGCCTCTGTTTGCAGCAAACTTGTCTGTTGCCTCGTTCCCAAACATCGAAGTTCAGCCAGCGTCTTTGCGCCGAAATCCTGTTTGGAGAGGTTGGGTTCCATAGCTCGCAAAGGAATCCAATATATTTGCAGGGGCACCCGGAAGCTCGTGAAAACCGGCGTGCATACAAACGTTCAGGCCATGTAGGATAGATGGTGGAGACATATGGCTGCCTCTTTTTTGAGGGTACCTTGTTTTGTTGGTAGGTTAAAGGAAAAACCAAAAGGACAACCACTTTTTTTCTTGGGGGCGGGGAGGGGGAGGGGGGGAGGGGGGGGTCCCATAAACAAGGCACACCCATGCACTCGCCTGGAAATTGACATAGAGCTCGAAAAGGGCCCCATCCCCAAAGGAGATGCCGATCCTTAAAACAACACCTTCTTGGTTGGTCATTTCATTAATCCGGAGAAATGGCGAAAGGATGACATCAAAGAGCCCGATCGAACATGGATTCCAGTGGGTTTTATGTGACTTCTTTGTTCAAAGCATGGCCATTTTCAGGGATCTGTTTCGTGAGTCGACGATGTCGACCGTTGAAAGGCCGAAATCAACAAACTTGGGACCCCAAACATGAAAACCGGCGCCCTCAAAGCAACACAGAGACTCAGAGACTCGAGCTTCGCGCGTGGAAGAGCTCAGCGAGCGTACCTGCCACGGCCACGGAGGAGGCGGCCGTGTACTCGGAGATGTTGTCCAACATCTCGTTCTGCGCCTCGCTCCCCAGAAGGGTCCGGATTTTTTGGGGGGAGTTCTCCCCGTTTTGTTGTGGGAACTGTTCCTGGGAATAAAAACGGGGAGAAAAAAACACCATGAAAAAAAAAAAAAACAACGCCCTCCCCAGAAAAGCAATAAAAAGAGCCCGGAGAAGCCGGGGAAAACTCCTCAAAGAACACCGCAAGCCCCCAAACAAGGGGTCCATGTCCACTAGGTGGAGACTTCTGGAAACGTGGCAAGGTCAGGTTCCGTTGACCTGTAGGGCACTTATCCTGGAATCTTAAGGATGAAGTACCCATTGCTGGTGTGGGGGTAAACCGCATGACCCTCATGCCCAGAAGCTGGGGCAGCCCTGGCATCGAGGTTCTGTAATACTGCGGATGGTTGCGAAATCCATTCGCATCACGTAAGAAACGTTGGTGTCTGATTCGATTCCCAACAAACGCTGTGGCTTCAACCATGGTTTCTGAACGGTGGTGCGAAGTGGCTCTCGCGACCATCCACACTATTGGCGCAATTGGCTTATTTGGCCGCTTCGGCTTAACATGACTCCCGAAACTCGAAGAAAAACAAAAAACGGGTCCGAGGTCAGGTAAGTTGCTTATCCCCAGCCACTCCGCATTCCGTGGGTTGGATGTGTAAACCCCGCAGAATGGGGGCTTGCCAACTGGGGGCTATCAACCGGCGAAGTGGAATTCTTGATCCAAGTGGTTGAGATGGGGTTTTGTCGGAAGGACCTCCCATCTTGGAGGTAAGGTGTTGGTTGCCGATTCAATAAACTCGTTTCCTCCTGTGGGGTGATTCTTAAGAACATTACGTGCCTCAAACCTTCCCCGCCCCGAGTCCCAAATCCCTGAAGACTTGGAGTTAGAGAGAGATTCAAAACCCAAATCCCTGAATATAACTTCACTGGATTCGTCCCAGAACGGCGCACGCCCGTTGAGTTGCTTCTGTTAACCCCCGTGCAGTTTTAAGGAGGATCCCCAAACTCTGCCCCAAACGGATCGGCAGGTCCCAGAAGGGTTGAGCCACCCGGTAAACCGGGGCTTCCCAATAAGACAAACCCGCATCAGCCACGAAGATTACATGCTTCCGCCGAAGGACATGAGCAAGTTTGTGAGCGCCCGTGCTTTGGAAGATTTAGCGGGCTCCCAATAGCCCTCCCAAATAGAGAATGCACTATCAGAAATGTTGACCGAGCTCCAAATGAGGCACAGTCAATACTAATCATGTGTCCCAATTGAATTTTGGCGCGCCCGGAGAGTTTGTTCGGCATGGTGAGAGCGCCGTGCTTTACACCATCCTCGCCTTTCGGAAAGCCGCCGGCCATCCCGAAAGCCGGCCTGCGTGTGGCGGGCCAGATCCACCAGGGCCTGAACGGAACACCGGGCCGGTCGACCGGTCGACCGGTCGACGGCTCCGGGGGAAGACCCCGCTCTCGGACAGGATTTGAGGGGGGGCCGTCCGAAATTTTTCGGGGTGCAGCAAACTCCAAGTTGAAGCAAAACAGCTCTGCTGTCCTGTCGTAAGGTGCGCATCTTGGGAAAAAAATCCGGTTCAGCGCTTGGGGTACGGTGACCCACACGCAGGAAACGGCACAAACAGAGCAGCCTGTTGGGGGTGTCTTTTCTTGGCGACCCCAAACATGAGTTTGGGTGTCCTTTTCGTTTCCCTTTGCAAAATAGGAGTACCCAATTGGATTTACCCAAGGGTTAGGGGTTAATAAGCCCTGAGGCGAGATCAGGCCAAATGCCACGCTGGGCGGCGCTCTTTGGGGTGGAAGGGGCCCACATGTGACGAGGGTATTTGGAGTTATCTTTTGCAGACAGTCAAGAAAGACCTCCCGTGACGGGGTTTCGGGGAACTTCCTCGACATGGCTCTGGAAGTCCCCCACGTGCGCGCGCGCGAGTTGTGATGAGTGGGGAGAAGGTTTTCGCATGAGCAATTAATTCTAGCCAGCCCATTGCCGCGAGCTAGCGCACCATAAAGTTGAGAGCTGATCGTATCCCGCTCGCCAATTTTCAAGTGGGCATCCACCGAAGTCACTGTACTCCGACTCACCTTTGAACCAGCGCCGTGTGCCATTGTTCTGCCCAGATTGACTGGGAAGACCCACCGGTTCTCATCCAGGCCACGCCAAACCTGCTTGCACTGCTTCTCCCAGCCCTCACAGCAACCCAGGAGAGCAAGTGCACCTTTGCCACCTCCTTCCCAAGCGCTTCGCTTGGTGAGACTCGGGCACCTCATGACTTGTTGCCAAGGTCTGCCACTCTCTTTCACAACCGCCACCGGAATGAACGTAAGTGGGAGGGCCTTCACAATTCAAGACAACAGTTTCTTGGTTTGACAAAAAAATGTGCTGTCTCAACCCATTAATCAACAAAGCTTTGAATGCTAGTGTGTGCCTCATGCGATGGAAATGGTGCATTTGTTTTCGCGATCATGGGCATTGCCATGCGAAAGCGAGAAAGCTTGCGACAGAAGTGCTGCTGACCACGGGAGTTGCGAATCAGCAAGTCTGCCTTTTGGGGTCGCGAATGGCATCTTTGGAACGTCCTGTGGGCTCTCTGCCTCCCTTGTCGCACAGGTTGCACTCCTAGGGCATTGGAAGGTGAACCACCTGCTTGTCCAAAGGGCCGGCGGCTTGCTGGGAAACCGCCGCCGAAGCCGGACAATCAGAACACAAACCTCTGTGTTCATACGGCCATGGGTCAAAAACCCGGCGACCCCCCAGCGCACATCCCGATCCAACCACCAAAATAGGTACTAAAGTGGATGTGGTGACTTCACCTAAGACCCCCAAAATGGGATCCCAAAACGGTTTTGACCACCACGGCCACATGGAAAAAACCCCTGGCCACCCCCCCCCACCAAACCCCCCCGACAGACCTGGCGAGTTTTTTCGCTCGGCCTCCTGGAGGCCCTGGACGTCTTCCTCCAGCGTGGAGACCTGAAGCGCGGCGCGTTTCGCCCGGCTCCAGACGCGGGAGGTCCCGCCGGGAAAATTGGCTGGATCAGGCTGGATCCCCCCCCCAACACAAAAAAACAAGTCCCACCCCCCCGGTTTGGGTTGGACGCCTCCCCCCCCCAAAAAAATGGCGGGCCTTTCCTGGTGGTGTCCCTTGAACGCCACCTCAAACAAGTCGCAAATAGGGGGGAATCCGTGAAAAAACGGGGTCGGTTTGTCCTGATGTGGGTTGTCCTTTGCCACCCACAAAAGGGTACCGAGCCGCAAAAAAGACACACCCAAATGGGTGTCTCAAAATGGTCCCAAAAAATCCCCTTCGGCTTCCTTTTGGTCTCTCTTTGAGACCAAAAAAGGGGGAGCCTCAAAAAGAGACAAACAAGCATGCCCAGTGGATTTTGAGGCCCGGTGCCCCTTTTTGGGGGTTGGTTTGAAGGGTGACCGAAAAGGACCCAAAATCCATTTTTGGGCAGCACTCAAAAACCCAAATAGTTCTGCTGTGTCTCAAGTTCTGAATTGGTTGGGGACTCTCTGGTGGAGACCACTCACAAGTGGCCCGAGATTTTGCGCCCCCAAAAACAGACACACAGACACACAGACACACAGACACACAGACACACAGACACACAGACACATAGATACACAGACACACAGACACACAGACACACAGACACATAGATACACAGACACACACACACACACACACAGACACACACAGACACACACAGACACACACAGACACAGACACACACAGACACACACACAGACACACACAGACACACACAGACACACACAGACACACACAGACACACACAGACACACACAGACACACACACACACACAGACACACAGACACACACACAAAGACAGACACAGACACAGACACAGACACAGACACAGACACAGACACAGACACAGACACAGACACAGACACAGACACAGACACAGACACAGACACAGACACAGACACAGACACACACACAGACACACACACACACACACACAGACAGACACACACACAGACAGACACACAGACAGACACAGACACAGACACAGACACAGACACAGACACAGACACAGACACAGACACACACACACACACAGACACAGACACAGACACAGACACAGACACAGACACAGACACAGACACAGACAGACACAGACACAGACACAGACACAGACACAGACACACACAGACACACACACACACACACACAAACAAACACAAACAAACACACACACACAAGAAAGCCATTATGGCAGAGGGTCCGTTGACTCGTCGTGCTTTTGATCTTTGCCCAGCCGCACACACACACGCACACAAATTCCAACACCCAAGTTTGCGCCGTTTCTGGCTGGTCTGGGGCTCCCAACTGAAACCTGCCTCAAGCATTCCATGGATGAATCAAATTATGGTAGCTATATCCGCAATTTGAGAGGGTACTCCTCATTAAAAATGTATAGCCAAATGGTTATCGTGTGTCTCAAAGCTGCCAAATGCCTTCAGTGGAGATTTGTCGCCAAAAAAACGGCGACAAAACACCATGGAATACCAACGCATTGTCAAAATAGTGGGGCACCCCAACAAACCGTGGTTTTTGTTGTGATTTCCCTTGCCAAAGTGAAAACAGCACCCTCAAAAAGGCAAACGGAACTTCCTCCTGGTTTCCTACCAAAAGATGTTGAACTCCACCAAACATATGACACTAACCACCCTGAACACTTGAGTCACTCCGGATGACCTGGCCGAAGCCCGAGAAAAATGTGTAGCCCGGATGAATCTCTGGGCGGATTGTGTTGAGTCGGACCCCTCCTTGGATGGGCTGGGCTTATAATTTGGCATTTGTGGTGGTCGGTGTACTTGCAATATTCGGGAAACAACCCTTGGGAGCCTTTGACATGTCTCTCGAGACTTAGCAGTACTTAGAGCACTCTGGCAACAAAAGGGGCTTGATCACCTTTGCTCACTTTGCCGAATGGACCCTTTTGGAACATGAGGAAACCAAAAGGTGAAAAGGTCCTGTGCGTCAAGCTTTGTGGGTCATGGTTCCCTTAAGCCTAACAATTCTCTAGAATCCCAAAGGAACCAGTGTGTTGGCCATGTTGCCATGCGGCTTTTACACGAGGATTGTACTGGAGCGATTGAAGCATAATGAGCACCTATTCGGACTCGGATTCCAACCCTTAAACCAAATGCTGTGCAACTGACCCGTGAGCCAAGTGAGCCTCGCCAAAACACCCTCGCTGATCTTTCTAACGATTCTAACGTTTACATATGCCTTGATTTTACGCCCATGAATTCTACGCCCATGAATCGCTGTCTTTTGGTGAGGGCACCCGCTTTTGAAAAGGCGGGCTTAAAGGGAAACCAAGACCAACACCAAAGTCCATGTTCAAGAGGATTCACATCAAAACAGGACACAGGACTACACATTGATGCAGAACAATTTTTGGTTCAACGCCGTTGGCCTCCTGCAGGTATTCTTCCACGATGGCGGCTTGAAGCTTCACCTCCGCCTGGAGCTCTCGCCGTTCACGGCGGTGGACCCGCGGAATCGGAGCATGGACATCTGGATCGACCAACAGACACAGGTGGCCTTGTGGAAAAGTAGATGGGCTTCCCTGGTAAATGGAAGAAACCCACCCGAACCAGTGGAACCCATCTATTCTTAATCAAATTAATTGATCAAAAGGACACCTATGCCAACAGATTTCTAAACCCGCTCGGCGACCGGCAAGTTTGGGGGCGTCCAACCTCATAGGGCTCAGTCCTTCTATTCTCACAAAGTGGGCGATTGGCCTACATGTCTAGGGGGGGTTCAAAGGCCGGCTACAATTTCTTTAGTTTTACCAGAAAAATTCAAGGTGTTCAGGGGTTCCTGCTTTTCCCGTAGATTTGTTCCATGGCCCCTTCCTGGAAACCAGGTAAGGCACCGGGAAACTAAAAGATAACCAAAAATGCCACGAAGGAGCCGTCAAAGGCTGGGAAATGACATATACCCCCCAAAGATCTCCAAGATTCTAGGGGAAAGTAAGGCCAGACTTGCGGTCAAATAAGACTTCACCTGTTGGCTCAAATAAGGAAAAGCACAACACCCATTGACTCAATCATTGACTTTGGTTGCACTCAGATGGTTATAATGGTTTTATATCAGCCTTCCACAACAAAAGGTCCCCTTTCAATGGCTCCAAACCAGAGGAAACACGGTCAAACTCACGTCCGACATCGCGCTGATTCAGACGGCTCTTGCGGCTTGGGGGGTTGGGGTGGTGATTTTTCTATAGTAGTGGAGAATAATCACTTGAAGACCCCCGCGATGAATACTGTGGATGGACGAAATCCTGCACCTATCCTGCACCTTTCAGAAACCCCGGTTTCTGAAAGGTGTCTTGCGGTGGGGTGGGGTGGGGTGGGGTGGGGTGGGGATGGGGGGGGTGGGGGGGGTGGGGGTGGGGGTGGGGGTGGGGTGGGGGTCGGGGTGGGGGTGGGGGTGGGGTGGGGTGGGCGTGGGGTGGGGGGGTGGGGTGGGGTGGGGTGGGGGTGGGGGTGGGGGTGGGGGTGGGGGTGGGGTGGGGTGGGGTGGGGTGGGGTGGGGTGGGGTGGGGTGGGGTGGGGTCAGTGGGGTCAGTGGGTGGGTGGGGTGGGGTGGGTTGGGTGGGTGGGTTGGGTGGGTTGAGTGGGTGGGTTGGGTGTGGGTTGGGTTGGGTTGGGTTGGGTTGGGTTTGGGTTGGGTTGGGTTGGGTTGGGTTTGGGTTTGGGTTTGGGTTTGGGTTTGGGTTGGGTTGGGTTGGGTTGGGTTGGGTTGGGTTGGGTTGGGCTGGGTTGGGTTGGGTTGGGTTGGGCTGGGTTGGGTTGGGTTGGGTTGGTTGGTTGGTTGGTGGGTGGGTTGGGTGGGTGGGTTGAGTGGGTGGGTTGAGTGGGTGGGTTGAGTTGGGTGGGTTGGGTGGGTTGGGTGGGTTTGGGTGGGTGGTTGGGTGGGTTGGGTGGGTTGGGTGGGTGGGTGGGTGGGGTGGGTGGGTTGGGTTGGGTGGGTTGGGTGGGTTGGGTGGGTTGGGTGGGTGGGTGGGTTGGGTGGGTTGGGTGGGTTGGGTGGGTTGTGGGTTGGGTGGGTTGGGTGGGTTGGGTGGGTTGGGTGGGTTGGGTGGGTTGGGTGGGTTGGGTGGGTTGGGTGGGTTGGGTGGGTTGGGTGGGTGTGTGGGTGGGTGGGGTGGGTTGGTGGGGTGGGTTGCCCGGGGGGGGGGGGGGGGCGGTGGAAGTTGGCAACACATGGTTGTGGGTCAAAAAAAATGCTACCAAAATGGAAACATGGACCAAACCCTGCGTAGCCCCTCCTGTTTGATTTGGAGGCCACACCCACATCTGAACCACGTGCTGTTGTCTGAAATACGGCATTTGTCTTGTGCTTCAAAGTGGAAATTGAGGCATCCTGTGGGGGACGTGTTCAACACCTAAAGCAAAAACCATCAACCCCCAAAGAGGTTTGCCCTCTGTGAGTCAAACGGAAGGCGAGGCGTGGTGCTAAATTTGAAGGACCCCCTGGCTGTTCCCCCTTCAAAATGGTGGTGGTCGATCTTTATCTCCATTTTTACTCTCGCATATTGTCCTGCAAACCACCAGTTTGCTTTTTGTTGCTTGTTTATGTGGCTGTGGCTCAAAATTAACCAGGAGGGGTTACGCGGGTTTGGGTCCATGTTTCCACTTCCCAGGGTTCCATTTTGGAATTCCGGTTTTTTGAGCCACAGCCATGTGTTTTTCTCTACTTCAGGTTTGCTTGTTATGGTTTCCCGAAAAATCCTCTAAGCATATTGCTGGCCGCTGGCTCCCTGGGCCCCGGCCTGCGACACCTCGCCCTCCGCAAGGCCTTGCACCGGCCCGGCGGGGCCCGCCTGAGCTGAGGGCCAAAAAAGCCAACCAGACTCGTGTGTCTTTGCTCTTTTGGGCAAAAAAATACTTGTTTGTTGGGCCGAAGCAACAGCAAGTCGCCTCATGGGGCGGTAATTTGGTGGGGGAGTGTTTTGGGTAGAAATGTGGCTTCAGTGACATTTTGCATGCCTAATAGGGGCTAAACAGTTTCAATGGGGTTGTGGGGCACTGCGAAACCAAATTCGGACACGATTAGAAGAGTTCGTCAATAACTGTCTAGGCACAAAAATTCGCATACTTGGTTTCCTGAACCACCTGGCATGCTCAAGGAAGGAGTTCCACGGGAAGTTCATTGAATTTTCACCTGAGCCGCAACTGGGATAACCGCTTACCTCCGTTGGACATGTTCCAAACTTATGGGTTCACCGAAAAGGTCAGGGGCTCAGAGCCGAAATGCTGATCCTCCATTCTTTGCGTCCATTGTTCGTTCTTTCGAGTTCGAATCCCCTAAGTTGTTGAGCAAGTACCTAAACATAGTTGATTCCCTTTCTGCAGGAAGTGCGGCCCACTGCGACACCACTGGAAAGCCTTTCTCATGACTAGTTCTATCACAGAGGAAACAGATGGTCATCATCTGCCTGTCTCTCTTCCACATTTGTCTACAATAAAGATCTGTTTGGAGCCCCCGGCATCCGGATTTCGAAACACAACCTCGGCCAAAGACGAGAAAGATAAAGGTCAACCCAAAACCATAGACCACTGGGACCACTGGGACTGGGACCCTGGGCGCCGAACAGCCAGGGAGCCCATCTCCACGTCGCGGATGTCTCCCCTGGCTGCCCCATATGGCCCAAAAAGCAGCGGCTCACCAAGCGTCCCCCAAGTTCTCTGCCCAAAGGTCAGGTGGCGGAACCCACCACCCCGGAACCCGAAGATCTTCTTCCGAATCTACTGAAAGCCAAAGCAAACCACCCCAGAGATCGCCGATCGAGACTTCATGGCTGTCAGCTGAAGAGATGGAACCCAAGAGGGTTCCCAGAAACCCTCCGGGGATTTCGCGGGCTGCTTCATACTTCCATTCATCTGGACCCTCATGCATTAAGTCAGTGCCTGTGGGCAAATCAATCAATTTCACGTGGGGACTTTGCTTTAGAAGCCTGAATTTGAGACCATGTTTTTTCCAACCCCGAACCTCTTTCTGACCTTCAACTGCCCTCTAATTCTATGACAACTCTTTGAAAGAAGAGCCGGGGGATCAAAACAAAACAGGTTGGAGGTCAAACCATGAAAAACCGGCTGGGAGCGACCAAAGAAAACCCGCAAGGGTCGAGGCACCCGCATAGACCTGTTGTTCTAGGGTTGATTCCTCGTTCTTTTCAGCCACCGCTCTTTTCAAAAACCGATCGCCATGTACCCAGGGTTTTTGGTGGTTTTCTGGAAAGATTCGGATCCTTGGAAAGAATGGTTGGCAGTTACCCCTAGAGTTGTCAACGGCATCCCACAAAACCCAAGGTCCACGCCTCGAGAGCTCAGAGCCTCAGGAAAAAGAACCGAGGAGCCGTCATGAACCTCTGATGCCATCGACTGCATTGCCCCAAAAAGGCCAAACCTGGTGGTTGCCACTAAAATGGTCCAAACTTAAACAGGGATCCTGACATGAAAAACACCTGAACATTGCCTTGTACATGGTCGTTTCCAACTTGATTTTAGTGGAAAAAGCCATGTTTCAAATGGGCAAAATGTATCTTTTGAGGAGCCCTGTTAAAAAGTCTTGAAAATCCAGACACGCTGGAAGCCAGACCTTGGGAACATGTGGGCTGTCGCTCAAAAGAAAGGGGTGACCCGACACTGGCGGCCCCCTGGTTCCATGAGCACCATCCCTTTCACACACCACACTCCTTAAAGAGCCAAAGAACCTCCCCCCCCCAAAGGTTGCTTCAAACCCAGCCGAGACCCTTCGCACTTCGTCGGACCCAGAAGCATTCCCCGTCGACGCTGAACTCATGGAGTACCCTCCAGGTCCCTGGACACGTTTTCGAAAGCTTTCTGGAGGGTTCAATGGCATGTGACATGTGGGGCACCAACCATGGGGCCCAACGGTTTAAACATCTCGCCATCTCCAAAAAACATGTTGCAACTCTTCGGTTCCTTAAGGATACCGAATCGGGGCTGCCCAAAAAGAATCTTCTGACGGCAAACATTTTTGGGCGTGGGTCAAAATCCTGTACCCCTGGTGAACATCAAAATAGGTGGGACATGGGTGTTCATCCGCCCCAAAAATGGAGGCGTAGGTTCTGACCCATGGCCGTTTTCCGGCGAGTCGCTACGTCTCACAACTTCGGTTCGCCGCCCTCCGGCCCTTGAGGCGTCAGCTCTCGAGCGTCGCCCGGATCCGCGCCGCCTCGAAGGCTTTGATGCTGGCCTCGAGCCGTCGAGTCACCGGCTGGGATCGGGGCCAGTGGGACCAAGCCAACTCGGTTGCTTTCTGCTCCCCTGCTAAAAGTTTAACTTTTAGTGGTTTAACACGGAAAACCCATTGGTTGGCAAAAAAAATAAAGTCCTGACATCCCTGGGCAAAACAAGAAGCGAATTTTGATCCATGAGATGCGTGGATTTGGTGCGGTTTAGCGAGTACCGCTGAGTTCCGCTGGGATAGGGAATCGATGGGATCTTCGGAAGCCGGTTGAGGGATCCCCAAGGAAACCAGAGAGGGTTCAGTGAGATGGGCTCGTTCTTGAAAGTTTCCTGAGAACCAGCAGGTTGTATGGGTTCACATATAGGATGGCTATCTGGTCCCACAAACAAGCCCATAAACTAGAAGTGCACACCAGGGTTCGCATATGGTTGATCGCTTGGGGCATGTGTTCTGGACGGGATGCGCCCGTTTTCCCAAAAGGCAAATGGTAAAACGGAGATCGGGAAAGACATGAAATCGGGGTTGGAAAAAGAACGGGGTCCCTTCTTGTGTCCTTGATTCTTAACACAAAATGAGTTGGAAAAGTTGAATAAGATTGGAAAGAGAGACACATAGAGCCAATTCATATGTGATGCGATTTGTTTGGTGTGTGCATGAGCAGGCCAACGGCTGGTGCTGAAGCTGGGAATGACTTGTGTTCGGGAAATCTTCATTTCTAAGCCTGAAATAGAAAAGCAAATAAATAAATAAATAAATAAACAAACAAATAAATAAATAAATAAACAAACAAACAAAAAAAATATGATGATGATGATGATGATAATATTATTCTACTCCATCTGGAATTTTAAGGACTGGCTAGTAAATGGGAGCTCCTCTCGCAAAACAGAACAACTACCGATGGCTGGCAATACTTAGAGCCATCTGGACCACCCAGTGGAGTTGGTACCTTGTTGTGGAGGTTTGACGGGAAACCAACAGCCTGCTAAGAACCCACAAGGTAGACCAAAGCGGAACCAGCTTGGTGCGTCGTTTCACTATGGAGTTGGTACCAACTTCCTAGAAACAGAACATGATGTCCAGGCTAGGGGTTTGTCTTTGAACAGGGGCGGCAACCCCAAAATTGGTGTCTTCCACTTCCTGTCTGTTTGAAACCCAACACGTCCATTGTGGTACTTGAACAAACTAATCCAAGGAGGCTGCCTCGCAGGCAGCGACCCTTTACACCCCTCGCCCCTAGGACCTGGTTGCTCTTCAAACAAAGACTAACTTAAGGTCTTACGAGGGTCTTATGCTCCAGCGGAACCCCGAACAGAAAATTATTTAGAGGAATCTCCTAGTGGGGTGTGAGTTCCATCTTGAGCTGCGGGGAAGTATTTACCAGTCATGCCCAATCATTTCACTTCAAAACAAACCGAGTAAAATAATGGTAAATAATGTATCACCAATTCTGTAAATGGTTGGGGCGTGCTTGAATGAGAACCTCTTCTATGATGGGATTCCCCCTTAGCCAAATCCTGCTTGGGGACTCATTTAGCATACTGCCTGTGGGGTCCCTGGAGGGTAGTCTGAAAAGGACCCTGCTGTACTCAACATCGGGGGCACCAGTCTGTTTGCCCAACCATGCAATTGTCTTGGGCCATCCCAAGCCTAGTTGAAAACAAAAGCCAGACCCCCGGCCTCGAGGTCTGCAGTGACCCTGGCCAAGTTCTCGCCTAGTGCTGGGTGGCTCGGTCGAGTTCTCTTTTTTGAGGCGAGGGGCAACCTTTGAACCGGGTGGGTGTAAAGGAAAAAAGGGAAGCCGCCCAGTTTGTGGGGTCCTCAAACAAAGAACAAACACCCAGGTGAATTCCGCACAGTTGTGTGCTTGTTGTGTTCTTTTTGGGGGCGTCCGGTTTTGGAGACATGTGCGCCAAAACCACAAACATCTGGGAGGTGTGGATGGTGGAGGTATAACCGAAAACCAATCCTGGACGATATGATATTCTCATCAAAAGGATCGAGGTCCACCCCAAAACCTATTTTTGAGGCAACAGTCCATACTGTGGACACTGTGGATGGACCAAATCGGTGTATGAATACTGGCACTTTGAGACAAGCCCATACTGTTCATACCCCCACCCGAACTGCGATTGACTGACAATGTTTAAGTCTGCTTCTGTGGGCCCCGCGTTTTTGTCAAAGACTGCAACTCTGGGGTGGTTCATGGCCCCCAACAGTGGAACCCCTGGGTTGAAATCTATCTTGGGGTAGTCAAAAAGTGGATTTCTTCTGCTCAAGTCGAAAAGCAAGTTGAAGCCCGGCACTCAGATACTGGGGGGGGGGACCGAACCTGCAAAACAATGATCCACGCTGAACGGGGCACCACCAAAAGGAAGCTCATTTCAGTCATGCTAAAGCATAGTGTTACAATGGTGTACCCAAGCCAATGAAAAAAACAAAAACATTAGGCGGCCGAACCTATTGTGCCCTACCTTTATCTAGCCAGATCTTGATTGTGGCACAAGTAAAAACCAAAAGATTCTGGAATCCCAAACAAAAAGGTGAGTTATCTGAGAGCCGTTTCGGGTTCCTTAGGGTTTGCCAGGGTTGGCAACCAAAAGGCGACCTTTGAAACTCGAGTTGGAGCCATAACTTTCCTTTTGGGAAAATAAAAGACAATGACCGGTTTCCCTTGTATATACATGGTGCATCCTATTTATGTCTAAGCAAAAAAAAACTCAAGAAAGATTCTAACCCCACTCTTCGTTGCCCCAACTCGTGGAAATTCTATCCCAACTCTTCCACCGCGCCCTTCTTTACGGACCGACTTCTCTCGGCTTCCCAGGCTGAGCTTCTGCTGCGTGAGCAGCCGCTTCTTCTGCTCCCCGGTGTCTCCCCCCGTCAGCCCGAAGAGCTGCACGCGGCGGAAAGACGCGGGGCAGCCGTCTTCGTCTTTTTCGGCGGAAGACGTGGGAGGGCATAGGTGGCCTCTTGGAAAAAAAATCGATGGGGTTCCCTGGGTGTGGGTGTGGGTGTGGGTGTGGGTGTGGGTGTGGGTGTGGGTGTGGGTGTGGGTGTGGGTGTGGGTGTGGGTGTGGGTGTGGGTGTGGGTGTGGTACATGGAAGAAAGCCCACCTAAACCAGTGGAATCGATTTTTAATCAAACTCACCGATCAAAAGGGCACCTATGGTCCGGAGTTCTCAGGGAGCTCCAAAGGAGCTAGTTGCAAGAGAAGAAGAAGCGCTCCAACATGGGTATGACTCGTTTGTTGGTTGATTCCAGGGTTCTCAGGGAGCGCCAAATGACTCGTTTGTTGGTTGATATTTGACTTTTTTGGTGCGGGTGAACTATGAGAAATGCAGGAAATGGGTAGATGAGTGTCGCAAACTACTAGGTGCAGCGAACACACCTGAGATTTCCCGGGAAAGTGGGGGGGGCACAATTGAGTCTCCATGCCAAAGAAGTTATCGACTCTGTCTCTGGTTAAGGGGTGTTTGGTGTTTTAGTGAGTTAGATTCAGAACAAACACTTTGGAACTGGGCATTTGCCAAACCCCTTCGAGTTGGCAGCCCTTTTCTTATGTGATGTCTTTCCGCAACACTGTTGCTCGCCTTCTCTGAACGGAAGCTGTTGGGGGGGAGTCGTCCTTGAGACAAGAAACTTCAAGAAGTCTTCCATAAAAGTATGTCAACATAGGGAGCCACCCCAAAATGCATTTCAGGTTCGCATTTGGCTTCCTTCTAAGCCAACCTGGCACCCGGGTCCTCTCGAATTTCGCAACGCTTTTCTCAAATGGCCGGGCCCGGCCCCTTGAAAAGGGTCGTAAATGTTCAACAATTCCCAGGACCGCTCGATTCCCCGGTTGCGTCGAACGGTTCTGGTCGTGTTCAGACCATCCGCTTGGGGGTGGCTCCACGCGAAGAATCGCTGGGGCTTGGTTGACGTTGGAAGGGGAGCCAAAATCTTCCAATCTTAGCAGTTAAGTGGTTGGATTTCAACCACTAAACCACAATAAGCAAACATGTAAAATATTTCCCAACAACAACCATGGGGAGGGCGACTCTTTTGGCTTTGCAGACCTCTTCGTGTCAATCGCGGGACTCGTCGCCGGGTGCCGCAGTGCCGCCTTCTCCAGGTGTCGTGTCCCCTCCTCCACCGCCTTGCGCCCTCGGCGCGCGGCCTCCTCCACCTAATGCGCACGCAACACGCGGGGGGGGGGGGGGAGACTGGGGCGGGGGGATGGGAACCTGTTTCTGTGTAGGGAAATCTCATGTTGGGGTTGCTGCATGTTGCGACAAACGCGATTGGTTTCGCTGGGGTGGTGATTGGTTTTGAATATTATCCCCCCCCAAAAAAAACGTGTATGGCTAGTACATGTTTAGGGGAAAACCCAATGGCGAAGAATGGGTCTAGCTACCACACATAACAATCAAAACGGATAGGGGAAATAACATATCACCTGCACTGGGGTGTGCTTTTTTGGGTCAGATGGTTTTAGGGAATCAAAAGGAAGCTGGAAGGAAACCTGTGCAACATTCATGCCTCCGGGCCTAGGCCCCATACAGCAAAAGGGATCATGGGCTTCCGCTTTGGGACGCCCGCGGTGCATCCAAGCAGCACGGGAGGTTGCAGGGTGGTCAACTTTCGCATGCCGGGCACGCTGGGATCCGGCTTCACAACCATAGGAATTCCTAAGATGGTTTCGTGCGGGACCCTCTTGGCCTAGGCACGAAATGAGGCAAGCCCCGTTAGGATCCCTCGCGGGCCTTCACTGCTTGAGCCCCAAGCCCCGGTTCAGCTTGTTGCTCCATTGGCGTACATCACCACTGCTTGGATGTCAGCACCAAAGTACTCCTTTGCTTTTGGCTGGTTCCCACCTAGCACAAACAGCAGCCAAACAAATCAAATGCGAACATCAGTGGAGTAAGCCTATAGTGAGGCTTGTCTTTGGTAGAGTTCAGCATACCGGCCCAGATTCGCACAGATGGACTCCAAAGCATCGAAGGTGTAGGGCAAGGAAAAGCGCAGACGAAAGGACCCATTCGTAAACCTTGAAATGGATGTGGGTCAAACATCGGCACCCAAAATGGAACCCTGGTAAATGGAAACAAGGCTGCGGTCCCCTGGTGGCTTAATTTTGACCCAAAGATCCCAAAGTCAAATGTGAAATTATGTTGGGTGACGCCCCAACATAAATCCACCAGCTTGATTAATCCACCGTCGACATGACTCCGAGAAGTTGAACAGTTGTGTTTTGTTGGTGTCTTGGACAGAGCTCGAAACGGAAGGAGCAAAATCTGCCGACCCCATGCCTGGTCCGGAATGGACCATGCTTTGGGGGCGCCGAAATTCTAAGGTGTATGGGGCCGTTAAATAATCACGCACGTCCTTCTCTTCATTTGGCTTAGAGTCCCCACAGCCCCGGTTTTTTTTTCCAACTTTGGGCCCTGAAGGAAAAAAAATCAGGGAGACACTTTTAATGTTAACCCAGGATTAATAAGGGTGTCCCCCCTCTTCCCCCCCCTGCTCCCTGCTTTCAGTGGGGATTCGTCACTTTTGGAGGGAACACCCCCCCAAAAAATGGGACGGGTTTAGGAAAAAAAATAGGGTCAACATTATAGTTTTCGTGTTGCAACCCTGTCCCCCCCCTGTTCCCCCCACCCCCCCTCCTTGCCCCCCGCCGCAAGGCGCAAAACTTCGGATCGCCTTATGTCGGGAGGCGATCGCCAGCAGCGAGGTCTTGCACGAAGCGTGAGGCGTGTCGCGACACCGATGGCCCCAAGCGGAGATCCCTGAAAGTTTCTCAAACTAGGAATTATGTTCATTGGTTTGGGTGCACCGTTGTTTTTTATTCCAGCCTTTGATTGTGACTCGCCAAAGAGTTGATCAAGCCATATAGAACGCGTGTTTTAATACCAGCCTTTGATTGTGACTCACCAAAGAGTTGATCAAGCCATAGATTTCGCGTCCCCTTTCTCCAGAGTCCGTGGGCAACTGAGTAGACGATTTGGTCGCTTGGTTTCTTTCTTTCTTGCGGATCCATCTCACAGAGAGTAGGCAAAGCCAGGGAACACTTCAAGAGCATCGAGGATTTAGCTCGTCACATGTCGGTTCGGGGAGTTTGCGAGCAGGTGCGAGAATCATTTCGTCACGGATGGTTGACATCTGCCCCCAAAGGCTGGAAACCGAGATGCTTTGGCAGTGCCGATATTTCTCTTTTATTCCCTGTTAGTTGATATTTCAAGGGAAAGAAGGACGCATTTCATAGGTGGGATTGTCCGTTACAAAGCTTCACTACCCGGGTTTGGATTGTGGCTCTGGCGGGGAACGCACCAAACAAAAGGAAAGAAGGGCCACATCCAAGCCCCTCGGCATAACCCCAAAGGCCAATATGAGTCACGGGCACATTGGGTGTTTATGTGGAGGCCACCGAAAAATTATGTCACTTGCTCACATGGGTGAGATTTTTCATGGGGGACCCTTTGGTGGACATCATTTAGGTTGGGATTCATGTCCACCACGTTTGAGGTGGTTCCAGCTCTCAAAATTCAACTCGCAATGTGAGATCCGTTCACAACCCTACCAGGGAAAATGCCTCGCCCCCCAAAGCAGAAGAGGTGGATGACAGTACTCAGCCACTCCGCATGAGGTGCCGGTTGGCCACACCTGGTGTACACCGAAAATAACATGCTCAGATTCAGTTTCATACGTAGTATACTCTGAAAAAAAAAAGATTTTCGGAGGAGACCCAGGTAGCCCTAGGCCCTTGCTGATAAAACTTTGTTCCGAAGCACACACCCCAAAGAGCGGAGGACTGCCTTTGATATGGGACCCCCACAGGGGTTCTTCCCCCAAAGGCGCTCTGCAGGTATTTCTTGCGAAGTGACACCTGACTCATCGCTGCGAAACCCCTGGCCTCTTTCCGGATGTCCGCAGTGCATCGCTGTACCTCCTTCACTGCCTGGCCGAAAGAGCGCCGGGATGTTCTAATCGACTCAAGATGGGCCACCAAACCGGAATGGCTCAAATGAACCAGCGTGCCAGACTATTGGCCTTCCCCCACCCAGCAATCTTTGATATCCCCAAAAACACAAA